GGACCCCCACTAGGTCATGTTTGGCCATGGCAGCCATTTGGAGGGCATGCAAAAGATGGTACTTTCTGTGTCGAGTGAGATGGTTACACCAGGGGTCCCCTTGTCCTTGTACATCATTTGACACCTGTTTCCTGGTGGCCTAACATTACCTCAGTGAAGACACACAGAGAAGAGACCAGTTTCAGTCACTCTGGTTCCCTGGGTCCCTTGACAATGGACTTTAGGCTGAATGGCATGGGAGCCACTTAACCTTACCGCAAAGACTAAAAATAGCTCCTAGAAGTCAGTTCTTTCAAATCAATTTCCTTTCAAAGGAGATGGACCACCCTTGTAGGTGGGGAGAAAGCTATTATGTACAGGGCCAGGGCTGGCAAGAGGCTCAGCTTCTAGGGTTCAAGGAGTGGAGAGAAACAGGAAGCTGAGACTCAGCTTCTTTACTTGGTGGGGCCCAGGCCGCTGCCTAATGCTGAAGGAATCTTACTTCAGACAAATAAAAGGGGCAGAAGGAGCATGCTCCAGCCCCACACCAGGCTGAGGTCTAGAACAGGTCTCCTGGAATTCCTAATCATGACTCTTTTCCTTGAGATGCCTTGAGCAGGGGTCTGTCTCCCTAGGGTGGAGCCCATCCTTGCTAGGGCTAGCTGGCATTTCATCTTTATTTTCTTCTTCATTTAATGATGCCCTTGAGCTTGTAAAATGGACCTGGACCGGCACGGGGCCCTAAAGTCTCTCATCAGCAGTCCTCAAAATGGTTTTGCCGTTAAGGAAGCGGATAGGGAGACCGAACTGGCTACCTGGGATTGCTCCTCAGGGAGTCTATCCGGAGCTGCGTGTAGCCTTCCTGTGGACTTAAGTATCCTGCCTCCTGGGATGTAAGATTATGGGGCACACTCTGTCCATTCCTCCTGGGGAAGCCAGGGTAAGGAAGGCAGTTAGGCATCTTGCCATTTAATGAGCAGGCCTGAGATGGGAGAGGAACACATACAGGGGGCTCCGGCCAGTCACTGTCTCTCTCCTCCATGCTCAAGTCTGCCGCTGGCGTTATAGGAAAGTTTAAGAATTGAATATTTTTTCAAGTATGTGTATTTGGCATCCCGAATCATAGCTTTTATCTTGCTATTGGTATTACTATATTCTGAAGTATTTATATATATACTCTCTCTATATGTATATATATTATATAATATAGTATAGTTTTTATCTTGCTATTGGTACTACTATATTCTGGAGTATATATATACATATATATATATGTATATATATTATATAATATAGTATAGCTTTTATCTTGCTATGGTATTACTATATTCTGGAGTATTTATATATATACTCCATATATATATTATGTAATATAGTATAGCTTTTATCTTGCTATTGGTTTTACTATATTCTGGAATATTTACTATATATACTCCATATATATATGTATATGTATTTATATTATATAATGTAGTATAGCTTTTATCTTGCTGTCAGTACTACTATATTCTGGAGTATTTTCATAGCCAGTTAGGAAGATGGAACCCTCCTCAGATTTGAAGAGCTAGTTGCTTTTGCTGTTGAGTCCTTATTTTCAATCACTAGTATATTATTTATTTATGCAAAGAGGGGAGTTTGTTAACTTCTGCTGGTCAGACCCAGCTCTCTCTAGCTGCGCTTGCAAACTTGTGAGCACATCTGCCGGCTTCCTGTCCGGCTCCCATGAGGCACTAGCAGAAGCAGCTTACCACATCGTCTTCAGTCCATGCACCGATCTCAAAGGAAGGCAGCAGCTGCGTGGGAGATACGAAGGAAATGAAAAAGGGAAGCAATAGTATCCTTGCCTTTTTGGTTTGTCGGCTCGTCGGTCTCAGCTCTCCTGCAGCTCTGGCTTCCTCTGGCAGGTTAGGTTGAGAGGAAGACAGTTCCCTCAACCTTCAGAGGAGGTTCTCAGTGTCCAAGGATGCTGAGCCCCACAGCCAATTTGCAAATCAGTTCCTGGCCACAATCCATTCTACCTTACAAGCTGTCTTAAGGGTGACTTGGCACAACTTAGTGTAGTCTTCTTTGGCATGGGGCTTGGCAGGAAGGGCTGTACATCGCACAGCAGGGCCTTGGAATCAAAGCCTTTCTGACATTCACCAGCTATGAGAGCGGCCTTAGAATTCTCGGCCAGCAGTAGGATAACGGGATAATTTACCTGTTACCGGAAATTCCAAAGCAACTATAAGTAACCAGGTGACTTATTTTGCCTGTTCTCACAGGGGTTCCTGGGCTTAAACATCCCTGTTGTGTGGATGAGGCAGGCCATGCCCTAAGGCATCTGGGTTCAGAGTTGCTCTAACACTGACTGAAACACTTCCCGTCAGGGACCCGTGTGCAATGGGACTTGGAGAGCACTTCAGCCGGTGCAGCCCAATAAGGGCGAAATAGCAAACACTTTCAGAACTTGAAAAGGCCTGTGTCCCACTGGTATAGCCAATAGCTCCAACTAGCTTGACTTAGCAAGACAAACGTTTATTCATGATTCATGAAAGAATATGCCGCAGTATCACCCAACCTCTGTTACAGTCTTTTTCTGTGAACAAATTGGGAAAAAGAATTTGATGGGAGTAGGTATGATCTAAACACTTTTTATATATGTATGAAATTTTCAAAGAACAATAAAAAAAAGAAAAAAAGTTGAATTTAGTTGCTTTTGCTGCTAGTGTGACAATCTGATGGTGGCTAAGTTAAACTTTCTAATTTAGAAATATTTATTGTATAACCACAAGCTCAAACGGCTAGGAAATCCTATAAAGAATTTCATTAGAACTGAGCAAAACATCTGTGGATTATATTTGGGAGAGGCCACTTTTATCATGTTTGGGTTTTTTGTTGTTGTTGTTGTTGTTACTAATGCTCAATACTTGGCACATTTGCATGTACACATGCATATTTGCATGTGTGTGGGTACATGCAAGTATGTACATGAGGGCCAAAGGAGAACCTTGGGTGTCATTTCCTCAGGTACTACTGACTGGCCTGGAGCTCATCGATCAGTCTGGGCTGGCTGAGCAGTGAGTGCCAGAGACCTATCCACGTGTCTGCCCCCGGTACTGGGATAAAAGTCCATGCCACAACAGCTGGCTTCTTATGCATCTTCTGGGACTTGAACTCAGGTCCTCATGTACACAAAGCAAGCGTTTTACCTACCAAGTTCTCTCTCTAGCCCCACCTGTGTACTTTTTATCATACTGTCTTATAGAATGATACAATTATAGAATGAAGGATGCGTGTATTCAGTTGCCAAATTATTTGGCAGTCTGCTCAGTGTTGATAGGCATACAGAGAGCGATGTTTCCTAGCAGATGACAGGGGAATGGGAGGCAAGTGGCTTGAGCTGAGGATTGCAGGCCCTGGGGAGAAAGAGAAAGTGAAGAAGAACAGCTAGGTAAGATTCTGGCCATGGGGATGAAGTGGGTGTGGCCCGCTCACTTAACTGGAGCACAGGATGCAGTGAAATTGTGTTGGAGGAAAAAGAAAAGCCGATTCTGGGTGTGGCAGAGCAGGTTTTATTATCTTAAACCCTACTGTTTAAAATAAACATGGATGTGCAGACTCTGAGTACCACGTCTAGGTTACAAGGACATAAAGCAAATGCTCGAGTCAGTCATATTCTCCACATACGCTGCCACCTGTGCGCTTCCTTCCTCTGAAACACACGTGCCATGAAGGAGTCACTAGCATGCTCACCTGCTTTAATACTGTGGACACGTGACTCAAGGAAGCTCAATAAAGTGCATGGCAATCAAAGAAAGGACATGACAAGCTTCACTTCTTCACAGGGCAGCTGCATACAGCTGCGGAAACATGCCATCCCTTTTGTATCCCACCACAGACACAAATGTGAAGTAAGAGACATCGAGATGCCATACAGAAGTACTGCTCTGCATTAAGGCTGGTCTCCACAGGATGTCAGTGCATGTGTGATGTGTGTGTGTGTGTGTGTGTGTGTGTGTGTGTATGTGTGAATGTGATGTGGGGTGTATGTGTGAACGTGATGTGGGGTGTGTGTGTGAGTGTGATGTGGTGTGTGTGTGTGTGTGAATGTGATGTGGGGTGTGTGTGTGTGTGTGTGTGTGTGTGTGTGTGAATGTGATGTGGGGTGTGTGTGTGTGTGAATGTGATGTGGGGTGTGTGTGTGTGTGAATATGATGTGGGGTGTGTGTGTGTGTGAATGTGATGTGGGGCGTGTGTATGTGAATGTGATGTGGGGTGTGTGTGTGTGTGAATGTAATGTGGGGTGTGTTTATGTGAATGTGATGTGGGGTGTGTGTATGTGAATGTGATGTGGGGTGTGTGTATGTGAATGTGATGTGGGGTGTATGTGTGAATATGATGTGGTGTGTGTGTGTGAATGTGATGTGGGGTGTGTGTGTATGGTATTTTGACTTTTACATCATTTCCATATGTGCTAACAAAACTGAGGAATAAGTATTTCTTAAATAAAGATTGTAAATGAAATAACACCTTCAGTTTTAATGTGCGAAGGACGGCAGAGCTCTTGCCGCTCGCTCTGTGGCTGGCTCATCAACATTATGCCACAGGGAAGACCTGAGCTCTGCCTGCAGCTCCCTCCAGCAGGAGTCTGCAGATGTTTGCAGAGATCAGTAGAAAGAGGGCTGGGACCAGGCGCTGCTGCAAGACGGTTTGAATTTGGCAAGACAGGGGCTAAGAGTTAATGATCTCCGGCCACACAGAGGCTCACCGTCTCCTTCATGTTTCCTGTACCTTGTTAACATATCAGTGCATCTGCTGTCGATGAGTTCTAAGCCTTTCTGTTTTCTTTGGGGATAAAAAAAAAAAAAAATCCCTCATGACTGCCCCATCACTTTAGTAATTCATTATTTATACTCCAGCAGACTTCAGGGGAGCAAAGCTAGCACTCGTGTGCATGTGTGTGACACGGATTTCTTCAAAGGATGTTGGGATCCAGGCTAACAAAGATCTTATGTACACAGCGACACATAACAAAGGCCTTTACTGTCAAAACGTTTATTGCAAAATGGAGTCTTAGAACAAAGGAAAGCAGAGAGAAGTTCACATCAGAATGAAATGTATGACACCAACTTGGATTTCTGAATACATCGTGGACTCAGTGCTGGAATATCAAATTCCAACCACGAAGTCGGCAACTAAACAGTCTTACCACACAGGAGTGCAGTTTAATCTTCCATACAAACATTATACAAGGCATTTGGCATAAGACTAGTTCAGAATAACATTGCAATAGAGTGAAGGAGAGAAGATTGTTATGAAACGCAGCAATGATGCCACCTATTAAAAGCTCAAACTCAGGGACAGCAATGTTTTCTAATAGCAGTTTTTTTTTTTTTTTTATAGTGCAAAAGCGGTGTGTCGTGTCGGAATTAAGAGTATTCTGCACACGCTATAAAACAGTTGTGTCAGTGCCTGAACTCTACTTTGAAATCACTAACCCCATGCCAGAAAGTTTTTCACACAAGCAACAGAGTACCCACAAAGTTGGGGTCTGAGAAAACATGGCCTGTCCCCGATTTCCTGATAGACACAGATTTTTTTTTTTTTAAATCACAGAATGCTGTACCTAGAGCGGGCAACGCTCTGTCCAGCAGGGTGGAGCCTCTGTGGCAGTGCTTATAGTCTACACAGGAAAAAGGTCTTTCTCAAAAGCAGCAGCGGTGCCTGATTATAGAAAGAATTATGCCTACTGTGTGTTTGTGGACTCGTTTCACAAGGCTGCCCACGTCTAGTGTGACAAAAGTCGTTTTTAAAGTATCACTAGGTTTTAAAACCATCTTTCATAAAATTCTTAGCACTCTAATGAAAACTGAAGTTATATACATACATAGTAACTTGAAGGGAAATGGGTCTGGGTCTCTCCTAAATACCCCTTCCTCTAGTCCTTTTGGTTTAAATGGGGATCAAGTGTGAATACCTCAGCTGGTGTTTAAAGTCTAACAAATTCACTGCATTTTTTTTTTAAAGTTACTGGTTAAAAAACAAAAACAAACCAAAAACTGTCCTCAGTATTTTCAGAGCATCAAAAGCAGTGTGTGTGTGTGTGTGTGTGTGTGTGTGTATGTGTGTGTGTGTGTGTGTTTGTGTACCTTCAACCTTATCCCACTGGCGATTTGTGAAACAATAAAAATGTGATTTTGCTTTAAAAAAAATAGAAATAATTTCCTTTAAATGACTCTGCAGAATGACGGTCTCCACCAGGGCTGTACTATGGTGGAGTCACCTTAACGGGGCAGCGCCCCTCCCCCAGGTGGATGCAGTTATTTCATAGGGTTCCTACCAACAACCGTGACGGGGGAGATGAAACCATTTCCACAAACAGGGTTCTGAGAAAAAGCTACAACTTCCTAAAACGTAGGAGGTGTCATTATCGTTCTGAAAAGGCTTGGGTAATCTTGTTTTGGGGGAGACCTAGAGCTGGAATAGCAGATGTGTAAGGCTTAACACACTTCACAGTGGGGACGGACGATGCTGTGGGGATTTGGGGCGGAAATCTTTGCAAGGTGGCACTGTTCCTGGCAAGCAGGATGCCATCAGGCTAGGCGGGAAACTGGCTGGTCAAGGTGACATTACCTCTCAGCTGAGAATCATCATAGGTGTCCTCAAATTCTACATGCTCAGCTTTAAAGAAAGGGAAAATGTGATGTATTCAGTCATCTGGCTGACAATCGTTACCACAATCTAGAGTTCTAATTTTCGTTCTGAACCTTTACAATTTTCAGGATTTCTTTAACTTCTGAATTGTGATCCTTTGTAAGGTCACTGGAATAAAATCTAACACTGACAGCTTGTCATTTCAAAAACTGATCTAAAAAGTGAGTTAGAGCTATAGAAGCATCATTAGAAATTCTGCATGTGGCTAATAGACATTTCTTTATAAAATCAATTGAATCTAAAGCTTTCTAGTAGTTGTTATAGATGGTGTAAGAACTCTAGAGGATCCTGTTTATTTGAGTCAGATCTCAGGTATGTTTGAGTGCGCCGACCCCCACGACAGAGTTTCTCTGTGTAACAGCCCTGGCTGTCCTGGAACTCACTCTGTAGATCAGGCTGGCCTTGAACTCCCAGGGAAAAGACAGCAGTTAAGAGCTGGAAGAAATATGCCTGGTCATGGTAAACCTAGATCTGATATAGAATCCAGTAACTTTTCCCTAGTATCACCATCAGGCTGATTTTTAATGCACTAAAATTTTTATACAGAATATGAATTAGGTATTGATTTAGGAAAAAGCATTATTTCCATGCCATTCCTATGTTCTAAACTAACTCCTGATTAGTGGGTGGTGAGGTGAGTGTTCTTCCGTCTAAGGCAGAACTCGCTACTCACAGAGATCCCTTCACCTGCCTTGGCTTTGTGCAAATGGCACCCATCAGCCAGGCCTTTTCTGACCACACTTTGAAGACCTCTCCCGCCAGCCTCCCTTTCCTTCCTTGCGTCAATCTCCAGCTTGCACTTAAAATCATAACGTTCTCTGATGTACGCTTTACTAACTGCTCACTCTTGCTCACTAGCATGCACGCTCCACGAATACAAATGCTATTTTCTAGAACTTGGTAGACACCAGGGTCCCAGTGAATACTTGTTGAACAAAAGACTTTATTTATTTTTTTTTTTCCTGAGCAGATGAGCAAGAGGCTTTAAGACCGTGTACCTGCCACTGTCTCCTTCAGGTACTCATGGCATGCTGGGAAATCAGGAGTTGCTGGGCATCCTTTCTGCTCCCCTCCAAGTTGTCCTGTTTGAGTGGCCTGGCTACAGATCTAGAATACCTATGTGCAGAGGATTACAGCAGCACAGGTATGAGGGAACCCATCTTCTCAGGCACACTGTACCTGTCTGTAAACACCCAGCACAGGTGGACCTGGCCGCGGCACCTAGGTTCCAAGAGCAACCGAATTAAATCTGTTTGCACGTTTTACATCCTAAGAACTGCTCTCTTTACATTTCCTGAAAGCTATCTACTTTTAACTTCATACTTCTGAGCAAGTATCACTTGCAATAGATACTTTGGTGTCCCAGAAGGCAACTGAACCTACCTATTTCTCAGTGTCCCTTTTACCTGGCAACGAACTGTAGTTGGTATTAAGTGGCACCTGCCATGGCCTGGTGCTATGCTACATGGTTACACACTTTCTTCTGATCCTTTTTCTTTGAAGGAGGTTAGCATTCCTGTCATGATAATGGAGGGTAAATAGGCTCAGAGATTAGTCTACCCAAGACTGCACAGCAAACAGACACCCAGAACATTGTACTGGCTATTTCTCGCCAAATGAAGTTGTAGTGTCTGCTTTTCATTTTTTGGTGGTACTTTTCAGTGCTCACTGAGGATTAGAAGCACATTGCATCTCAGATTCCCAAGGACTTCATAACCAAACATACTTAGTAGATGATTTCCAATCCTTTCTTGGGACAGAGTTCTGCTATGTAGCTCAATCAGGCTGCTACTAAAAGCACTGTCCCTCTGCCTCAGCCTGTTAAGTGTTACAGTTATGACATGAGCCACCACACCCATCTGATGTTAGAGCCTCTAAACAAGAAGGCCCACTAAAACTATTTCGTTTTCATTGTCAAATGAAGGATGCTATTTTTGAGTTAGATTGATAAAGAGCTTTGTTTTGTTTTGCCTTTATCTAGATGTAATTTTTATAGGAGTTTATAGCTTAAATAGGTTTTGATAGATAAACCAGTCTTCCGAGAGTGTCTCTGGGTAGCCTGGCCCTCATAGTAAGTAGCACCTGAATCTAATTCTCAAACCAGCATCCCAGAGCAGTGAAAAGGAAAGGGGGGGGGGGGGGGGCAACGCTGTACAGCTACCTTTAACAGAAAGACCTCTTCAGAATGCACTTGTGTCTATGAAGGATAATTTGTCTTTCCTATTTATAGTGTTTATTTTTCCTAAACATAGATTAAAATCTAGTATTATTATTATTATGCACCTCTGGAAAAAACAAAGAAACAGAGTGCCTTTGTTGGCTGTTCAGAGCAGGTGTGTGCTTAGCCTGCTCATGCCTAGACACATCCCTTTGGGACCATGTGTTCCTGTGTAAAGGACAAGCTAAGCCTAGGGTGACAGTGTGTTCACGTTAGTGTGCTTCCAGCCAGCACAGGGGTATGCAAGCTTGCTACGTCTGCTGCTCGCTTCAAACCAGAGTAGTTTTCCTTCAAATGTCACTAGAGAACACCAGCCAGGTTTTACTTTGAGGAGTTGTGAGCTATTTGGTTTGAAAATTCTTGGTGTTTAGGTATGTCTGAGGAAGATTTTTTTTTTTATAATCTTCTTTCATCTCAGCCTTTATTTTTATTTATTTTTTTTTAATGTGGCTGGATTTTATAGTCACCAGTCACCTCCACCATTACAATGTATTGTACAGGAAGAAACCTTGGTGTGCTGGGGAAGAATCGACGTCAGAGTGGAGTCAGGGATGGAGTGCTTGCTCACAGTGGACATTTCCCAACCAGCTAATGAAGGGGATAAAATACAGTCAAATACAAACTACAGACTATGCACATATTTCTATGATCAGGCACCGCACTCGCTGATAAATATGCCTTTAGCTTAATCCCCCTGCCTCGCTTTTCTGAATGCAAAAGTAAAGTCACGCTGATGAAGGGACTGCCCCAGGAGCTTGGCCTCAGGTGCAGCGCTCGGTGCTCGCCTCCTACGCTGTTTTTTGCACAGACTGAGATAATACATTTCTTCTGTTTAAAAATTTTTTTTTTCAATTTTATTACTTTCTGCCATCATTCACTGTTATTCTCCACATCATTCTCTTCCTCCTCACCATCATCATCATCACCTTCTGACAAGTCAAACTCACTGAACCCCAGGGCCATGTTGACTTTCTTCCCCCTCCTCTTAGATGTGGTTTTGGAGGAATTCTGCTTGGCTTGCATGTTTATCTGCATCCCAGAATGCAGCACAGCTCCTGCTTTGTTCATTGAGAAGACATCCCCAAAGCCCATGAGCATCATGGCCTGCAGACTTGGGTTCATGCCATGGCCCTCCCCGTTACTTGTTGCTGTGATCTGACATGACATCTCTGCACTGTTTGACTCCTCTGTTTTAGATTCAAAGTAAGACTCCTCAGACATTCTTGCAGCAAGAGGCAAGAGAAGCTATCGAAGGGAAAGAAAGGACAGAAGTGAAAAGAGAAATTAGTGCCAATTTAAATCAGGGGACAGACACCACAACACTAGTTGGTACTACGCAGGAGGTGAATGATGAGGACTTACTTAATGGCAGATTTGGTGCCGGTGTATGGCCATAATTTATAAATGACAGGGTAAATCGTAAATAAAAGCTTGCAAATCACCACAGTGAGCCAAATTTCAAATGGACAGGTAGGGACCAGTTTTAAGTCCTCGTTTTGCTTAAAACAAAATAGTTTTTAGGATGTCTCTTAATTTTTTTTCCCAATTTCACTTCCATACAGAAACATTTGATTAACCACTATATTAATTAAAAAAAGAAGAGATGAAGCAGAGATTAAATCTCAAGTCAAAACAATTCAGAAACCCCATCCCAAGGCAGAGCTCAGAGGAAGGGCAGAAGTTAGGCTGTGTGTCCGGCTGGGGAGCCTGGGGACTCCACCTCTCTAATGGGCTAGTGCCCTAAGCACACGCTGAAGGCCACTTTATTAGCTTCCATTGATTCCTGGACTCCAGCTAGATCCGGCACTGTTTAATTTATTCCAGTTCTTATACAACTCACCTGGGAATAAACTCCAGGTCCTGTCTCTAACCTTCAAGTCAGTCACAGTGAACACGGGGAACTGGGGGAATGCTGCTTAGGACTCACTTAGATCGTCTCCTTGGGGTAGCTGCTAATCCCTGAGTCTCCTTTCAGTGGGACGTGTGTCCATGAGTTCTTTCTCACATTGTCACAGTGGTGACAAATGTTTATTTTCTGCCTTACGTAATTACCTTTAACAGCCTACCTAATCCATAATGTCTGCTTCTATTTCTTTATGATAAAAACATCGTTTTTATATCTTCTTTAGAGAACTAGGCAAATAAAGGTTCATACTTTGCACATGGCTTGAGAGGCGTGAACTTAAGATAATGTACAAATAATGAAACTCTTAGACGAACTTTACATTCTTAGGGTTAAGGTACCAAATATTTAGTACCTTTTTTTTTTTTTTTTAATTTTAAGAACTTAAAAAACTTATCTACAATTGTTGCAGGCACAGGAAGGCCACAGGTGTATCAGGTCAGAGGACAACTTTTGGGAGTCAGTTCTCTCCTACCCTGTGAGTTCCAGAGACTCAACTCGGGTTATCAGGCTTGCAAGTACGTTTAGCCACAGAGCGACCTCGACAGGCCAGTTTTCTAATTTCAGTTACCGATGGAGCTCAGTTTTCAAAAACCAGCTTGTTCTATTAGGAGAGAATTTTGGTGCGGTGGGCTCTGGATCAAGGTCATGTGGTCCAGGCAGCCTTGGGTCCTTACTCATGGGCAGGGCCTCACTCCCTATGGCCACCCTTCTCGAATTCTCAAATTGGTTGTCAATTATAGCAACTCTAAGGAACACTTTGCTGCTCATTGATTTGATAATTGCTGAGGTCTCTTCTCACATTATGTTAGCCCCTAAAGAGCTCCACAAATATTTCTCAAAAAAGACTCTAAAATTTTTACAGCAAGCTGCAACAATTATTAAAAATAAGCACCATCCGTATTTATACATGGAAAACTCATTTTCCCAAGCCTCTTTAATGTTTCAGTTCTAGGAAGGAAAATAGTATCCCTGAAATCAATTTGATGGTGTTTTTATGCAGTTGTGAAAATGTGAGACTGTTATATTTAAGATGAAGCTACCTATTAAAAAAAAAAAAAAAAGGCCCAGTTTCGCCACTTTTAAAAAGCTCCCTCTGGTTCTCAGCAGTCAAGTTTAAAGCCAACTAGAAACCGAAGTGAGGATAAAAGAAAAACAGCTGCTCATCAAACACCTGAGCATAAACTCCTTTCCCTTAGAAATGCCAGCTCTAGGCAGAGGAGATGTTGAAAGCAAGTATTATAAACAAAGAAAACTTGGGCCTCATAAGTAAAAAGGGAGGGAGCCGTGCGGAGAGCGTGCGCCATGCTGTCCATTGTTAGCTGGTGGCCTGCAAGGCACTGTCTTTAAACTAAGTTTTCTGGAGTTAAAATGCAAGATACAACCTACTAAGCACCTGGCGTGTTTTATTCTTTAATCCACAACTGTGTTACCAGCAGCAATAAGACGTGCAAGGCAGCCCATAATTCTTTAGCAAAACTCATGCCAATGAGCCAAGGCAAGGTTCTAAAGCACGCTCTAATAGGCGGTTGAAAGTTTTCCTGATAATACTGCATTTAGAGGGAGTCAAGCCATGCAGCGCTTTACAGCTAAGGTTTCAACGCACTTAAAAAGCAAAACAAAACAGCCCGCAGCCTTCAGCGGATGGGCTGTAGAGACAAGGATGCATTCTGGCTCCTGCTCCCACCTGCTTGCAAGAAGCTGGGCTCTTTCCGGAGCCAGGGTGCTGCATCCCACTGGTACCAACTCAGTCTGGACAGGAAACTCACCCCTTTCCCCTTCTTGAGAGTCTGGTTAAACTCACAGGATTCACTAACAAAAGTGAGGGACCCTTTTAATAGCTCCTGGCAGTCTCATGTACAGCAATTCAGTTCTTACCTTGGCATTCCTGGGATTACCAAAGGCATTTTTGAAAAGGGTAAATCTGTAACATTTAGATGCATTCTCCTTTTTGGGGGTGAGGGGGTATCAGATTGCTTCTGCATAGGAATTGGAAATAGAGACAGAGTCTCTCATTCTTTAGACACAGGGAAACATTTTGCAATCTGTCACAGGCTGCTCAATGGAGGTTGCTCAATGGAGCTTAAGACTTGCCTAGATAGGAAAGGTCTTTGAGGAACACAAAGTGAAGGGCATTTAACTTTTTTCTTGTTATCTTTGTCAGTAACTTTATTTTTAATCTCTCATTCCTTGTGATTTTACGTGGATAAATATTGCCCACTGAAAAATCCTAGAAAAACCAACCTTAAGATTTTCTTGCTTCCTGAAAGTGACTGCTATGTAAAATCTAGAAGAATGCTGAAATACGACCTAAAATTTAACATACAGCTTAAGCTCAAGGTTAGAAGATAAAGAGCCAGGACTCCTCTGGACTCGGAAAAGAACAAGGGTCTTCCTAGAGGTACAGCAAGCCGGCTTCCTGTCCCAGGAGAAGTCTTTCCCCCATTTTATGCTGCTCATAATCATCGCACTAAATTAATAAGGAATATTAATGCTTGTCATCACTGTCAGCAGCCCAGCTCAATCTCAGAAAGAAAATGTGGTTAAGTTCTGACACACCCAAGACATTCCTGGCGGCCTGGCAATTACAGTTATTAATTACTGATGGCCTCTAAGTGCAATGCTGAACAGCAGCATTCCAACAGTGTTCTGAGGCCCTAACAGACGGTCCAAAAATACATTAGAGTTTACTCTAGTAACTTTAACATACAAATGAGCCAAGAGAATAGCAGTTCTTAAGGAAAGATCCAGAAGGAGGGATTTTTCTTTTAAATAGGTTTTTGTTTTCCTTTAAACGTGTGGCATTTTGGTGTTTTATACTCCTTACTACCAGTGCAGGCCTTTCATTCTCAGGAGCAGAGCAGGGGAAGAAAGCTGGAGGGTGGGGAGGAGATTAGCCATGCTGCCATGCTCAGCCAGGCTTCTGAGTGCTGCAGGGAGCCACTAGGTGGCGTACTCACCGGGGTGTTGGACTGCTCGGTCAGCTTCTGCTCCCACATCTTCAAGCGTCTCTCTCGTTCTTTGAGCTCCTGCTCTTTAAAGCTGAGATCTCGCTCTAGTTTCTTCAGCCTCTCAAGGGTGGCCTCAATTTCGCACCTGCAGAGAGATAACTCAGTGAGTCTCCACTGTCGGTGGCCCTGTGGACACTCACTCGGTGGGTCCATTGGAGCGCTAACCAGATGAAATGCTAAGGAACCAGCCAGAGAAGCGGGACTCTTTATCCTTCGAAATCAACGGGCGGTTTCTAGTTAGGGAAAACAAATTCTGAACATTTCAACAAAGCATTGAAGAGTGATCAGCAACTATGTAGCACAAGTTGGGAGCTAGCATCGTGGGCTAGCCATTTAGTACCTGCTTGTAGTTTATGAAGCTTTACTGCTCACAAGGCACGGTTTCTCATCCTACTTCCTCAACAGCCCCCAAAATGGGTACTGATCTGTTGTGGATCGGATGGGTGGATGGAAAATAGCACACACGTTGTGTAACACACAGAGCAAGCTACCTGGCTGGCATTCTTGCCCATGGAGTGGCTCAGCGAGGCTGATTAACCTGGCAGTTTCTTTGGCTGTAGGGGCAGTGGTTCTAAGATGCTGGGGTTCTACAATATGCTTCACCCTGAGAATCCCTGGGCCGGCTTGTGCCTACGCCTCCACCTTAGAGCAAGCACATGAATTGCTGCTGGGCAACGCTGGCTGTTTCCTCTGTTTAACAAGCACTGGTAATTTTTTTTTCTCTATTTTTTCTTTTATTGAAAATAGACATTTCTCAAGCTGGCCAGTGGTGGCACACACCTTTAATCCCAGCACTTGGGAGGCAGAGCCAGGCGGATCTCTGTGAGTTCGAGGCCAGCCTGGTCTACAGAGTGAGTTCCAGGACAGCCAGGGCAACACAGAGAAACCCTGTCTCACAAAACAAAACAAAACAAAACGACATTTTCTTCATACAATATTCTGATTATGGTTTCCCTTCCCCTAACCACTCTGAGATTCCTCCTACCCATCCAAATCCAAACCCCGTCTCTCCTTAGAAAACAAAGAGGCATCTAAAGAATAATTATAAAATAAAATATGATAAAACAAAAACAAACTAGAACAGTACAAACAGAAGAGAAAAAGCCAAAGAAAACACACAAGGAGTACATATAGACACAGAGACATACACGGTTGTACACACAGGAGTCCCATACGAATAAGCTTTATAATCTAGCAAGCATGTGATACTTGAGTCCCGAAGAATTCCGAGTTCCTTTTAGACTTTATAATTTTACAGGAAGTTCTTTCCCTCGTGTCTAGGCCACTCAGGACTCTGCGCCCAGTGAGAGAAACTGTTCTTTACATGAACTGAAACTGGCAGAACAGCTCGGCATGAACGTTTCCTCCTTCAGGGCTGTCACAGTGTTAACGTCTAAATTTATGCTCTGAGAACTGGAAGTTCTCTTCCTTGGGTTTCTGAAGCGCTTGCACACAAGCCATGAGCCACGTAATGAGAGATGAAAGGGCCTGGGGGGGCTGGGGGGGGGCAAGAAACATGCAAAGAAGTCCGGAGAGCTAAAGACAACACGTCTGTGTCCTGAAAGGACTTCCCGGCTAGCCGCCGAGACAAGCCTGCACCGCACAGCACATGGTGGCAGTGAGACCTTGAGTGTGGGCCCCCAGAGCTCAGCTCATGAACAGACCTAAGCAAAACGTGCCCTGTGTTTCCAGGGAAGGTCAGAGGAAGTGGACATTATTCCACTCCTTAGGGAGGACAACTGAGTTGCCCTGCTCAAGGGGAAGCCTGGAGGTGGGTCTGCATTTGAACCACACTTCACTTCCCTGCCTGTGTGAACAGTCCCCAGCATAGAAAAATTACAGTGCAGCTTCTCTCTTTCCCTGGGGCCGTGGGACAAACCATGAAGGTCCGGCGAAGTCACGGTGCAGTTCCGAGAAAAGGCACAAAAGCAGAATCTTCGAGAATTATGACTTCATCATAAAATCCAAGTTTAATCAAACTTAATATTTCTGACAAAAGTGTTATGCCAATTCACAAACAAGTTTGTTTTAACTTCTCAAATGGAAGACTGAAGAGAAAAAGTCACTGTGGAAAACCTTATAGTAAACTTCCATGACAAAAAAAAATGGAGTCATCCTGAGGGTCATAGGGTGGCAAGGAGGTCGCAGAGCTCGACACACTTAGTGGTGGGATGACCTGGCCGCCTGTGTGTGTGTGACGCTTGGTAAGCCTGTCCTAACTCTCCCGCCAGTGAGACTGATCCCACTGAAGCTCGGTCCTTTCAGTCAGGGTAACACAGTCTGTTTCACTTGTAATTAAATCCAAGGCCTCATCTCAAATTCCGGCCACTGTGATTTTGAGCCCTTGTAGAAAACAGATTAACAGTTAAGTAAGCCGAAAGCTGTGACAGAAACACATACCAGCTGGGAAGAGAACCCTCCTGAGTCTGTCCAGCAGGCCCAGCTTCCCAGCACTGCTCCCTCTCAAATACCATGAGAGAATGACCCAAACCCATGGACGTGAAAAGACAGCACCCCCTTGTTGTTGGTTTTGAACGGGGGGGGGGGATCACTTCCTGTCACATGCGTTTGTTGATGCATTTATATATATATAACCTTCCATCTCTAAAACTACAGTTGGTGAAAACACAAACCAAATCCAGCCAAGGTTGATTTCCACTAGCATCCATTTTCCTCTCCAGGCAATGAACTGCAACCATTCTTCTCCCATTAGACAGATTCACTGAGAAATCACAGGTCAATTGGAAAAAATATCCATATGGCTCATATATTACATGGTAAGAAGTGTATTAAAGTTATGGCATGAACACGTGATGGGTCCTAATACTCAAATTGCGGATATTACATTTTTGATCTCTGTTTTTGGTTCTTAAAAGGCATGTCATAGCGACAGCACTTTGGCCACCATGGGAAAACAACCAACAAAGCGTTTTGCCTACAGGCAAAACCTGAATGCTCCATTTCAACCCTTAGCTCATTCACTATTCCGCCACAGGTTTGTACAGAGTCACATGAGGTCACAATCGAGAAAGCTGGAGCCTCGGGACACAGGTCCCGCTCCGACTGCTCCTACGCCAAGGGGAGGGGCAGCCAAGGATTTCATGAATCGAACCTGATGCTCGCTCTCTTTCCTTACCCAGTTTAAGTGGCTTTTAGTAAGTTAGAGGATTTTCAGAATCTTTTAATTTTCTGAATTAGGTGTTTCGTCCGCCCGCGTGGAATGAAAGATCAAGCAGGAGGCCACCACTGGCAAGCATCCCAGCATGCCTGGACTCACACTTCACTGTGATTCCTATTTGCTGACAGTCTTTGGACCCTGACAAAAGTTGGGGCAAAGTAAGTAGTGGCACAAATGTCCTGTCCCTTGACTATCAGGTGATCTGAAAACCCACAGCATTCTTTTCGGCACGTGGCATGCTGAATGACAGCTTTTTGACTTGATTGGTAACCTAAAATGACCACACCCTGTAACTGCTTCTGAGCTAAAAAGAAATCGGGTACAAAGAATACTTCATGTTGATGGGCAGCTGCCATGACTGACGGCCGCAGTCCGATGTCACAGCACCTGGGCCTCATTCCGGCTCCACTGCCGTACAGGATAAGCTCAGGCAAGTTACACAAGCTGTTGAGGCCTCGGGGATATGTTAGCTCCTGGGATCTGACTGGGGCTGCTGTGGAGATTAAGAAAGAGAATCCAAAAGAAGCATGGGCATCTGGAGGGACCTAATAAACAATAACTGCTTATTAGTATCATAAGCCATCATCCCCCGAGGCTTTAACTAACTGTCAAGTTCAGTTGCCTCCAGCTAGTTTTGATGGCTCAGGTGAGGCCCACGCACTCTTTCAGTTCCCGAGAGGCCTGAGAAATGGTGCCCTCTTACTGAGCAGGGTATTCTCCCTCCTTCTTTACCATCAGTTCTCTTAACTTCCCACCTTGAAGGGGTGGGATTTGTTTGGCCATGCCTGTTGTTGAGATGGGGTTCTGCTATGCTGCCCAGGCTGTGCTTGAACTTGTGACCCTTCTGCCTCAGCCTCTTGAGTAGGAAGGTCTCCAGGCATGCACTGCTCTACCCAGCTTTCACCTTGATCATTCAATTAATCCAGATTTAATGTAGAAGTTTAAAGAAAAAAAAAAAGACAAATAGAAAAACGCCATTGCCCAGTGACCCAGTGACGCTCTGATGCATTTCTTATGTGCATGTACATACAGGTTACTATGCACTGGTTTTATTCTTAAAATTCTGTCATTTTGAATAAGTGAGACTGTAGCCACCATTTTAAACCCATTCCTCAGGTCCACTGATCAGAACTCCTGGGTGGGACTGCAACATTCTGGGTGTGGAGACACCGCTTTTGGAAGCCGGTCTCCTTTCCTTACATGACTGCTGTTTCTAGCTTTGGCATTCTAAACGGGGCTGTCTGAACAAGCACCCAGGCATTCTGTCAGAACTGTCCCATTGGTTTGTTCTGCAATAAATTCATAGTGGTAGGACTTCCTGGGCAAAAGCATTTGTACATTTTGAGGGCATCTAACTATACTGAAAAAAAAAAGGAAGAAAGAAAAGAAAAAGAATGTATTAGCCACTTGACTTCTTTTTAAGTTAGCGTTAGGTGAGCATGTAAAAGAATGAGTTTTACCATGGTATTTTCCTATATGAATCACTGTACTTTGTTCTTTCCTGTCCACACTGCCCTCCTCCATGCTCTAGACTCCCAGTCAGTCCCTGCTCTGCTCTCTTGTCACACAGATTCTATGGCCTTTTCTATTTCCCACCTCACTCAAAATCCTTCCTCCCTGCCATGAATCTTTTTTTTTTTTAGTTCTGCAACCTACACACCTACATGTATAAAAATACATACAATTTTACTTTGTGTATATGTGTGTGTGTTGTGGTTTACCATCTGTTCTTGTGAGAATAAATGCACAGGTGTGTGTGTGTGTGTGTGTGTGTGTGTGTGTGTGTGTGTGTGTACATGTGTAAGCACGCGGTTGATTTTAGGTATTTTCCTCAATCTCTCTCTACTTTATTGTTTTGAGATAGGGTCTCTCATTGAACATGAAATTTGCCAACGGTGGCTGGCCAGTGTGCACCAGGGATCTTCCTGTCTCTGGCTCCCCACAAGGGGGATTATAGACACATCCTACTGAGCCAACTTACACACACACACACCAATACCTGCATGTACTTGTGTGTGTGTGTGTGTGTGTGCGTGTGTGTGTGTGTGTATGTATATATATATATATATATATATATATATATATATATATATATATATATTTGGTTTTTCAAGACAGGGTTTCTCTGTGTAGCTTTGCGCCTTTCCTGGAACTCGCTTTGGAGACCAGGCTGGTTTTGAACTCACAGAGATCCGCCTGCCTCTGCCTCCCGAGTGCTGGGATTAAAGGCGTGCGCTACCACCGCCCAGTGTGTGTGTATATTTTAAACTCAGGTTCTGCATATAAGAGAAAACATGTGGTGTCTGTCATATTTCACTTAACACAATGATTTCCAGTTCTATTCATTTTCCTGAAAATGCCACGACTTCATTTTTCTACTCGACTGCATGCAATTCCACGGTACCACATTTCCTTTATTCGTCCACTGGTGGACACCAGACAGGAAACATTTCCTGGCTAGTGTGTACAGTGCAGGATGTGCCAGTGTCTTAGGGATGTGTTGCTCTGTCCTATGGGTGTTGTGGTGGTTTGAGTAAGAACAGTGTCCATAGTCAGGCAGTGGTGACACACGCCTTTAATCCCAGCACTCAGGAGGCAGAGGCAAGCAAATCTCTGAGTTCCAGGCCAGCCTGGTCTACAGAACAAGTTCCAGAACAGCAAGGGCTACACAGAGAAACCCTATCTCAAAAAACAATACAAAACAAAACCAAAAGCCAAAAATCAAAAACCAAAAAAAAAAAAAAAAAGAATATCCCCCATAGGCTCATATATTTTAATGCTTAGTCACCAGGGAGTGGCACTATTTGAAAAGGATTAGGAGGTGTGGCCTCGTTGGAGGAAGTGTATCACTGGGGATTGGTTTTGAGGACTCACAAGCCCAAGCTAGGCCTAGTGTCTGTGTCTTCCTGTTGCCCATTGATCCAGGCACAGAACTCGCAGCTCCTTCTCCAGCGCCATGTCTGCCTGCATGCTGCCATGCTCCCTGCCATGATGAACATCTGAAACTGTAAGCGAGCCCCAATTAAATGCTTCCTTTTATGTGAGTTGCTGTGGTTATGGTGTCTCCTCACAGCAGTAGAACACCGACTAGGACATGTGCATACCTGAGTAGTGCATCTGGGTCTTGTGGAAGTTCTCATTTTGTCTTGTTGAGGAATTCTATCCTGATTTCCACAGCGGCCACAAGAGTTCACTATCCACCAGCAATGAATAAGGACTCCTTTCCCACATCCTCAGCAGCAGCAGCAGCATTTTACTTGATGATAGCACTAGTCAATTTCTTCTTGTGAAATGCCCTTTCATGTCCATTAGAATGTTGTTTTAATTAAAGTGCTGTTTCAAAGGTAGTAACTGTCCGTGTGGTGGTGGCGCATGCCTTTAATTCTAGCACTTGGGAGGCAGAGGCAGGCAAATCTCTGAGTTCAAGGCCAGCCTAGTCTACAGAGTGAGTTTTCAAAGACAGCCAGGGCTACACAGAGAAACCCTGTCTCAAAAAACCAAAACAAACAAACAAACAAAAAAAACCCAAACAAAACAAAACAAAAAATCAAAAACCAAAACCAAAAAAAAAAAAAAAACAAACCCCAAAACAAACAACAACAACAAAAGGCAGCCACTGTAGCATGTTTGGGGATCCAGGGGAGCACTTCAGAGGGTTCTTAAAACCTAACTGGTTTTCGCCGGGCGGTGGTGGCGCACGCCTTTAATCCCAGCACTCGGGAGGCAGAGCCAGGCGGATCTCTGTGAGTTCGAGGCCAGCCTGGTCTCCAAAGCGAGTTCCAGGAAAGGCGCAAAGCTACACAGAGAAACCCTGTCTCGAAAAAAAACCAAAAAAAAAAAAAAAAAAAAAAACCTAACTGGTTTTCAAGATGGCATCGTCACAGAATTGGCCATTTCTACTCTCATAAGAACATGGACTTTTCAAGATGTTTTATGGCATGTGGGCCATAGGCTGAAGGCAGAACAGAATTTATTAGTGTTTTAAAAAGATTTTTGTTTGTATGTATGTGTGTATCTGTCTGCACATGTATGTATATATGCAAGTGTGTGGATGCCCAAAGAGGGTATCAGGTCACCCGGAGCTGGAGTTACCATCTGATCTGAGTCTCTTGATGTGGGTGCTGGGAACTAAGTGCAGTCATCTGAAAGAGCATCCAATGTTCTTAGCCACTGAGCCGTCTTTTCAGCGGCACAAATTTACTATTTTTTTTTACTATTTTTTTTTATTTTTTTTTTACTATTTTTTTAAATGAACTGATAAATATATTATGATTTTTCAGTTCTATTTTTAATGTAATAAATATTAACTCATTTACTCAAAAGTTTTTTGGAGTCCCCAGTAATTTTTAAGAGTGAACTAGAGCTGCTGGAGAGATGGCTCTTTGGGTAGGGGCATTTGCTGTGTAAGCATGAGGAGCTGGGTTGGGATCCTGGCACACATACAGAGCTGGACGTGGTAGTGTGTCTACAGCCCCAGTGCCGTCTGTACCGGGCAGACACGGGAGGGTCACTGGGGCTTGCTGCCCTCAGCCTAGCTCCTGGTTCAAGGAACAAGGAAAGAGTGTGATAGAGAAGGTCATTCAACATCCTCCTTCTGTTCCTGTACACGTGTGTGCACCTGTACTTACACATGCACATAATGCCCCCCCCCCACACACAGAGTGAACTGGAGTCCTAGACACCAAACAGCTGAGAAGCTCTGTTCTACCACATGAAGGAAGAAAGTTATAACTGTATGCCATCTCTCTTGTAAACTTATTTAGGATGGTTATTGTTTTTGGATATAGAAAATTTCAATTTTTAAAAAAAAATTTACTAACTTTGCTTTGTTTTCTTTGTTGGCACCCTTAAAGAACCCTATCTCAAACACACCAATACTCCCAGTTTAAAAATCCCTCTAGTCCTCTGGCTCACAGATCAGATAGCATTTCCTAGGGGAACCCCTGCGTTACACGCTCAGATCGGAGGATTGGATTTCATTGTTTATGCTCTATTAGCCATTGCTTCTCCGGCATGCGGCTCGCCAGCACAGAATGTGATGGTTACCTGTGTTCTCACGTTTAGCGTTTTAACATGGGTGTTTCTGAGGCTGCTGCTGGAGAGATTGCCACACGTCCGGGGACGTTGTACTCACCATGGCAGCCCTGCGCTAGAGAGCATCAGCCTCGCCGGAACCAGGAGAGGTTTAAGGGCTCTGCCTAAGCAAATGCACTGGGTACAAGAGCAGCATTGTTTACATCCTCACTACCATCATGCTCTCTGCCTGCCCTCCCTGCCTTCCTTCCTTGCTTCCTTCCTTCCCCGTATGTTTATCGAGCAATTGCTGTTGGACGAGATGGAGACAGAGATACATGAAACAGTTTGCTATTCCAACACTCCGGCGCTGAGGCACAACAACACGGTGGTCTCAGAGCTCAGTGGCACTGATCTGGCCAGGGAGTGGGGGTTGCTCCCTTGCAGATGAGCTAGGTCAACAGTCACTGAGATGGCTAGTGGGACCTGGGGGAGGTGGGGCTGGAGGAGTGTGCAGCTGGAGAGGCTGCACTGCAGAGGTTCTGGTCAGAGAGGGACGTGCCTCTGTGGAGCCTGAAGCTCGGGGCAGGCTCAAGATAGTTGGTCTTCTGAATGGCAAGCGTTTCCGTCTTTGTCTGAAAAGCAGTGGAACCCACACAGGGAGCTTGAGGGGGAGTGATATGATTACTGACCTGTGACTACAGGAAACAATGTCACACCAGGGTTTTGTTATTTCAGACCAGAAAAAAAAAAGCCTCAGCTCTAGATTGGAGCTCACCGCATTAATTTTGTATTGCCAAGAAAAATTCACGAAAGTGACTGGTATTAGGTAGTTATTTCAAAGGAATGAAAATAAGCAAGGCCATTGTAACGTGTCAATCAAACGGAAAGCCCATGGTAAAGTGTACTGACAGACAGCAGTCAAGACCCCATGGCGCTCAAGTGCACGCAGTACCGACTTGGCACCAGCAGATGGCGCAGGGCATTGTGTGACTGCCAGGGACATCAGGAGCAGGGATGAAGTTACTTCAAATCTCTGCTGAGTCAGGGGAGGAACAGCGTCCAGCTCCCAAACAGGCTATTTATATTCCCTGCGTCATTCGACCTGGTCCAACTGTTTCATCTTGGATTTACTTTTTCCACTTACACAATACAATTCTCTCTTTGCTGATTTGTTTTGCCAGGGTTTATAACATCTCACCTGTTTTCATAGGTTCCCCGCTCCCGGGACTAGCAGACAGCTAGGTGAACAGGATACATAGCAAGGTGAACAGGATACATAGCTGTTTTTTTTAAAAGATTCTTTTTTTTTTTTTCTGGACAGAGGCTAACGCTTCCTCACACAGAATGTGTACAGAGAAGCTTCAGAATATATGATTCAATACTCTTCCCAAATACTTAGATGCATGCTAAGACAACCAATACAGAGAAACTTCCATATGGATGCAAGGATATAAATCTCAGCCTCCACCCAGCCCCAGGCCGTGCTGGGAAACCAGGACTGTCCGTCAGGCATCTGGCTCACATCACTGAAGCTGTGGGCTGGGACTCCGGCCGGCGCTACCCACCTCCATTCTGCCTTGTTGTGCAAAAATGAGTTACACTGGTCAGGAAGGTTCGTGTCATTTGACATAGACTCCAGGATTGAAATGATCTGCTTGAATGATGGCCGTTTCTGAAGAAGAGAAAAAGGAACCACCGTGAGACTTCAGGAGAAATGGCAGGAGGAAGTGCAGCCACACACGACAGACCGTGACAGGGTTCTGACTGTTTACAGTCATCAGATCACACGGGTGGAGGGAGCCGAATTCTTCATCTGCATTAATTATCCATAAGGATAGACAGGGTGATTTTTTCAATCACAGGGCGTCAGGTTAGGATAATGAGTAGTCTTCTGTCAGTAAGGAGAGAGGTACCAAGTCCGATTTTGAGATATGACCAAGAATGCCTTAAGAAAATCTTCAGTCATTAAAGACCTATCCATGTGGTAGAGATAGTAAAAACTTACTAGATTATGCACTTTGAACATTCTGCTATCTACCATACAAATGTTTCCATTTCCCCCCATTTTTTTTTTTTTAAATAAAATGTGTGTGGGTGGGCAATATCTGCTTAACAACCTATTGGACTAATGAAACTTCCCAAATCAACTGGTGCGGGAAAAAACAATGAAAGCCACAGTAACATCACTGTTCTCAAGGTTTATCCCACGTTGAAGGCAGCTTTGGCCCAGGACACCGTACCATGCTGTAGGCAGCAACTGAAAAAACGCGCTCAGTCTGTCTCTAACAGGCACTGTCTATGCTCACCTCTTTCCACTTCAGCCAAGGCTGAGACAAAAGGTTAAAAGAAAAATGGAGAAAGATAATAAAAGGATGATGCACATTCTCTCCTCATCATGCCTCATAATTACACCATTTCAGAACTAATTACAGCTACAGCAATTAAAACACGCATTTGGATTTAGGAGCACAAAAACAGGAAGGAACAATGTTGAGGGGGCTTGCTCTCAGGACCCGGGTGCTTCTGACATTATTAAGAAAAGCTCTTTCCCATAGCTCAGAAATACAAAATGAGGATGTTTATTGACTTCGGTCTTCATTTGTTTAAGGGCACACGCACATGTGTGTGCATACACAAATGGTGTGTGTGTGTGTGTGTGTGTGTGTGTGTGTGTGTGTGTGTGTGTGAAGAAAGCATGCGTGATGAAATGTTACTGATGAACGTAGGAAAAGGCTTTAACTAGGACACATGAAAACGAGCCTGTGTTTTTAAACTTCGCTCCTATCTTCCTGTCTTCCATCCTGTGTCAGGTTTTAAATGAAAAAAAAAGAAGAGAAGTGTGACTTCGCACTAGAACTGGTTACAAAATAAACATAGGAAACATAGGATTTTTGTTTTGCAAGGAAAAGTAGCAACAGGAGCTAATGATTCCTTTTTTAAACAAAGAAAGAAAGAAAACAACAATAACAACAACAACAACAACAAATCCTAGTCTCACAGACCCCAGGCTAGCCTCCAACTCTGTGTAGCTGAGGATGACTCCAAACTCCTGATCTTCCTTCTACTTCCCACATACTGGGCTGTATAACACACCTAGTTTATACAGCGCGGGGGACTAATCCCAGGGCCTTGTGCATACTAGGCAAGCATTCCACCAATCGTGCTACATTCCCAGCCCACCTAATCAACTCTTAAAGACTTATTTTCCCTTACATTTAACTATTCTTGAAACAAAATTAAATTCCTTTATATTCAGATGACAAGTGTCCCTTAAAAGAAAAAATCTTACATCACAGTTAGACTTGACTCTCATACATTATCAGGAGGAGCATTTTAGATGCAGCCACAGCTGGCTGCAGTGGTACATTTCAGTAGTCCTCGCTATATGGGAGGCTGAGGCAGGATTACTGGAGCCAGGAGTTCAACAATGTAGAATTCTGCAGTGATGGTCTCAGGTGTGCTGGCTGCAGAACACAGTACTTTGCTAGGACCCACGGCTGCTCCTCTGAAGGGCTCAGGTGCCTCTGGAGTGTTGTGTACAGATTGCCTATCTTAAAAGAAGTCACAACGAGGACCACCTATAAAGTATCTTCACGTCTTACGTCTCTATTTGCTATTTCCATTTCATACATAGAACAACTAGTTCAGAAAGGCATACATTATCCAGCCTTACACAGGAAGCTGGTCACAGAACCTGGGCTATGCTTTAAACTTCAATTTTTTTTTTTTTGTCTCGTAGAGTATGATACCAACTTCTCTCTAGTCATCAGCTTCAGGGAAGCCATTTTAAGACAAGCCAATACTCATCTTTCTGTTCTTACTGTCATTCACATACTAGGCATACATCCACATAACTTAATTTTTGAGATAGGTTTTGAATATCCCAGGCTGGTCTTGGACTTCCTATAGAGACTTCTAATCTTCTGCTTCTGCTTCCCTAGTGCTGGGATGATGGGCATGACCAGCCACTCTTGGTTTACACAGGGCTGGCAGTCGAACCCAGGGCTTTGTGATTATTAGATAAGTATTCTATCAACTAAGTTACATTTCCAACTCCAATAAAATATTTTGAGCATATGATTTAGGCACCAGTATGCTCTGTCACTCATACAATGCCATGTTTTTCCTATGTGTCTCTCTTCTTCCCTGCACAAGAACACCAGCCCTACAGGGAAGCTGTATAATGTAATCTAAGTGTTAATGCTCTAAAGTCTAAGGACTGAAAAGGGAAATACAATACTTTAACCAATTACTATATATACCATAGACCATATACCATAGGATGGCACCAACTTTAAGTCCTAGAATGAAAATATACCTCTCAGAAAATTTACTGTGATCTGGCTTCTGCATCTACTTTCTATTGCTGCCAAGTGCTATAGAAACACACACACACACACACACACACACACACACACACACACACACACACACACTCCCTCACAGAGCCTGCAATCCATTTAGCAAGAAAGGATATCACTATACAAGCTAGGGCAGTAACCCAGACTGATTCTGGGTCTGGACAAGGGTTAGCAGGGTGTCAGGGAAGACTCAGTGGCATATTACTGGAGAAAGAGTGTGCTCAGGGAAGGAAGCCTGTGAGTGTGCCTGCAGATTAGCATGTGAGTGTGCCTGCAGATTAGCATGTGAGTGTGCCTGCAGATTAGCATGTGAGTGTGCCTGCATATTAGCATGTGAGGTGTGCCTGCAGATTAGCATGTGAGTGTGCCTTCAGATTAGCATGTGAGGTGTGTCTGCAGATTAGCATGTGAGGTGTGCCTGCAGATTAGCAGGTGAGTGTGCCTGCAGATTAGCATGTGAGGTGTGTCTGCAGATTAGCATGTGAGGAAATGTGAGTTGCAGCCACTGTCCAATCAAATCAAATACAGTGGCCTGGAATACTTTTATCAGAATAAAATGGCATGAATTTAAGGGGAAAAATCAGTTTCAAGCTTTCTTTATACTTCATGTGGCTGGAACACAAGATTCTTTTGGTCCTAAAGAAGGTTCTACTTCCTACATGTTAAAGACACGCCAGTTTTATAGTTATTGCTCTGGGCTTAAATTCCATGTGCATGGGGTGATTATATTATAATTTAAGTGTACACTCTTAGGGTTTTACTAGTACAGTACCATGTTTTCAACTAAGAAATTAAATCATACTGAAATGTGATCACAATTCTAGAGATCTGGTTGCACTAATCTAATTCAATGCAAATAAATTCAGGTGAAATTTCCAATGAAGCAGGAGAGGAAGAAAACACTATTGAAATCACTGTATGTTTTAACAGACACAGAAGTAGAGGTAATGTGATAACATTTAAACAGTACATGTTTGAAAATAAACTTGCAAAATCTGCTTATAGTTTAACCTAATTAGTTGCAACACGTACATTCCTTTTAATGCTTAATGCTTAAATAATGCTTAATGCTTAACACCCCACATTTTGAAGAAAAAAAAATCACACACTGGAAATAAGAGGGTCTAAACAGGGGTAGGGTGGAACACTCAACTTGTCACAGCATTGACAATGTACTAATAAAAATTTGGATAGTAACTATCCAAATGCCATATTTTTTAAGAAAAGTAACACTAAGCTATATAGGACTCCACTTGGAAAGAGGCTGCCGGAAGTCTCCAGAGCTGAGTGGCCGGAGGCTGCAGGACGCCAGGGCCAAGGCAGGATGCACACGGCTGCAGTCCAGCGACTGAATCTTCCCAGAATGGAAGCACATGGGTAGGAGGCTTCCCAACGGGGCTCCTGTGGGAGTGTCACTGTGTTTTGCTCTCAGTGTGGGACAATGTGCCGGAAACATTCTGCATGAATCAACACGACTTCTGTCCACACGCCCAGTTTGTCTCTAAGCCATTTCCACCAAAGGAGCACATTGCCCATTCATTCCTGGGCTCTGACTGGAAATGGGTAGAAATTAAGGAAGAATTCCATATTTTTTAGGTTTCTTTGTTATTTTTTAAGGCCTCTATTTTCGAATCAGTTGTAATACCTCTAGTAAACTAGACAAAGTTGAATTATGAATTTTGTTTCTTTCTAGAATTTGATCACTCAATTGTTTTAATATTTAATCTGTGAGACTCATTTTTAAATTATGATATTTATTATGAAAATCTAAACATACACAAAACAGTATGTCTATATTCTATGATTGAGCTTCAAAACTTATCACTTCCAATCATATTTAATTTGTATTGCTGTCCATTGACCTTCACTGTGTTTTGAAGCAAATTCACGACCAGCATCATTTTGTCCATAACTATTTTTGTATGTATCCAAGAGTATTTTTTTTTAAAGCTGATCTTTGTAGGGAAGGGATATTGGCAATCCATGCTTATGGGTAATAAATGCAGGAAAGTCTAGGATTGGAATTTCTTATTGTGACAGCTCAAAGACTCCCCCTGCAACTGCCCGCCCCTGGGGGGGCGCACACTAGAATTCTAGCAAAGCATACCTTCTGCTTGCTCCTCAGTTAGACAGAAAGGCAATGGAGTAGATGCTAAGAGTCATGGCAGACTGTCTAGGATCACATCCAGCCCCACCACTACAAGTCATGTGCCCCTGACTCATCATTTAACCTGTGTGGGCCTTGGCTCTCCATCTGTGAGCCAAGGGTGAGATCAGCTCCTATAACCAAGAGTTAGTTAATAGAAAGTGCTCGAAACACAGCTTCACATATAGTGAGTACTGTTTTTTTTTTTTTTTTGGTTTTTCGAGACAGGGTTTCTCTGTGTAGCTTTGCGCCTGTCCTGGAACTCACTTGGTAGCCCAGGCTGGCCTCGAACTCACAGAGATCCTCCTGCCTCTGCCTCCCGAGTGCTGGGATTAAAGGCATGCGCCACCACCGCCCGGCCAGTGAGTACTGTTTTACAAGGCACAGTGGTCACGATTAAAAGCAAAAGAACAAAATTGTGTTTTGAGTCAAGAACGCCAAAGAGTGCTGTTGAAAGAAGGAAGAGTTGATAATGGTCACTTGATCTAGAGGTCAAGACATGGAGACGTCAACACGGGGCTGCAGCAGTCATCGGGGCGCGCAGGCGCGGCAGTCACTTTCGCTGCGTAATGCTTTTCCCTACGCCAAGTGTTAAAAACTCAAAAACGAACAGGTAAAATTTCCGAAGTTCGAACAATAACAAAAGTACCTTGGCGTCAGCTTCCCAACACTGATGTAGGAGTTCTGCAAAGCTTCTGGGGCAGCTGCTTGGAATGGTTAATCTCTACAAAGGGGAGGCAAACAGAAGAAGAAACAAGGCTTTTACTCTTTGAGACAAGGGAATGTCCTTTGAAGGACCATCAAAGAGCTAATTTACAAGCATAAACAAGACACAGAACTTAAAGCTTCCATGGGTTAATAGATAACGGGAGAATTCACGCACAGATCTGTCCTGGCAAACCTCCAAAGAATCCCGCTTTCCCACATGGAAATCACGGTAGTTGGAAAGGTCAGGTTCATCCTGACAAATGCAACAAAGCGATCTCATCTCAAAGAAACTACAGCAGGAGAGGGGCAAGCTGGGACACAACGCTAACATCACCAACTTATTACTATGTTTTTACAGGCAGCTTGTGATTCCTGCACACCAGCCAGGTAACTAGGAAACAAGTTGAGTTTGGCAATAGGTGTGAGGCTCTGAAAACATCTTTGGCACAGAAGATCATTCTGCATTTTTGCACTGGTAATTCTGAATGTGCCATTCAGCATGCATGATTCATTATGGCTTTACCTTCGGGCACACCCGTGGGCAGAAATGGACTTGATACAAAACAGATCAGCTTGTGAGGATCAGTCCTACTCTCCCATCCTACAGTTCTAGACTCTCTCACAGACCATGATATGCCCCTATCCCCAGGAGGAAGTTTTGTTTTAAAAGGCTTGATGGGCCAGCCAATAACTCAGTAACAGCAACAAAATGGCCTGGCATGTATAGGGAATTGGGTTTGATCCTCCACCCCATAAAAACTAATGATGACTAGACAGCCTTCAATATATATAAAGCATCATACAATCAAGAACTCTCTTGCAAACCACCAAATCACAAATGTTCCATGTGGCTTTATGTTAGCCTAGTAAACAAAATAAAGTTTACAGTTTTCTGGACTTGGCATCTAACGGAGCTACAAATAAACAGAAAATAGTTTTGAACCGTTTTCAAATAACCAGACTTCAAATGAACCAGACTTCCCAAGAGTGCAACGCCCACACATAAGAAATCAAAGGAGAGTGATTTTTTTTTGCATTATTCACAACCAAACTACAATTTTAAGGACTGTCACTAGCAACAGTGCAGGTCTTGGAACTACGTCATTAACACAGCTCACCTCCATCAGGCTGTGTCTGCAGCCCTTAGGGCCATTTAACCACAAGGCCAAGCACCTTAAATGGCCTCATCATCTTGTCTAGCAAGGTCTTGCCTGAGCATGTGTGTACGGTAGTATTTCCACTTATTCTTCATATTACAGGGTTATACTGACTTGAAGAGTGATGCATGTGGGTGAGCTGAGGTTTTCTGGCTTTCTTCAGTAAAGCAAGGGCCGTCAATGTCATCGTTAGAAAGAGAGCACTAGGGTTGGGGACCCATCAGTGGCAGAGCAACGTGCACTCAGGAAACCCTGGGCTGCATCTCCAGTGCAGAGGGTGTGTGTGTGTGTGTACGGGGGTGCTGGATGTGGTGGAGTGTAGAACTGTGCAGCTGTAAAGCACTAAGGTTTAACTCCCTGGAACTGTCTGCCAAATAAATTTTACAAATAGAAAATTTAAAACTGAATTTGGGTGAAGCTATGCATAGAACTAGGAAGATGAGCATCTGGGCAAGAAAACTGATAGTCTACATTTAGAATCACACACAATCTTCACATCAAAATAAAGTTAACAGAATAAAGAGATCCTCACCGAATGAAAGCTATGTCAAGCCTCTCAAACTTCTAGTCTGTTGACCTCACAGAACGGAACAGTATGTTTCAACTGTTACTTTACTATGCTGTGAACTGCACATTTTTTACAGAGATCTGAAGGAAAATCAGCTGTTTGCTTAAAAAACAGAAGAAGGCTGGCAGGTGGGAATGAATGAGGACATGCTACAGATGCACGCATGCACCTGCGTGTACTCTCTACAAATAAACGGAGTGGGTTTTGGATGAACGCACCTCAGCGCAGCCAACCCTCGGTGGTTACCAATGGAGGCAATGCCAACAGGCTGAAGTTGGGGGACTTTTGTCCTCTCTTCTTACTGGAAAGCCTTTTTAGACACATTTCAAACATCACACAAAGAAAAGGTAGTTTTTAATATCTAATACTGTCAAGTGTCAGCTAATCACAGACTCGGACTTTTATGTAAGGGATTTCTTTGGTGTATTAAAAAGTACTTTAAAATAGCATCTGAAGTATTTATGTCCTGATTACACAATTTTAATGCATTCCTAATGATTCCAAACATCCCGAAATGGCCAGATCTCTGTACTATGCGCTAGCATTACTTACAGCTTAGACATTTTAGAATAAAGGTTTCACATTTAAAAGTAGAGTGTCTCCTAATAACTAAAGTAGGTAGGGTATTTAAAAAAATTTTTTTGCACCATTTTATACATAAGATGTGAAAATATTTAAGTTTTTATCTTTCTGAAGTTAGAGTAGTAGATTGAATTTTAAGTTTAAAAAATTTTGTACATAAAATATATTTTAATTAATTAATTTAGTGTGTGTGTGTGTGTGTGTGTGTGTGTGTGTGTGTGTGTGTGTGTGTAAAAGCGCACCTGTGCTGTGGTGTGCATGTTGAGGTGAGAAGACAATTTGAGGATGCAGGTGCTCTCCCACCAGGTGGGTACCGGGACTTGAACTCAAGTTGTCAGGTTTGGTAGCAAGGGCCTCACCTGCTAAGCTAGCCCACTGGTCTCAATTAAATTTAAAGTTTTATGAAGATATTTTTTACATTAATTAATTTGCTATTTACAACAAAACACATTTTTATACAAGAATCCAAGTATTTATAAAAGTAGAAATTATACTCTAAAACATTCTGAAGGCCTACTGATTTTCATGGAAATAAGAAAGCAAATATATGTATCTCCTAGGAATATTAAAAACAGTTCTTAGTAGTACCCTCTTAAGCTCATGCCTTCTGTAAGGTTCACTTGCTCACTTGGTAAGGTGTAACAAGGGTTTATGAATCTATTTTTAATAGGGGTTAACATCAGAAAAAAATGATTAGTCAAAAGCCTTATTCCATAAGAGGAAGAAGCAAAGATCCTCAGAGGTAATGTTAGAAAGCACGATTTTCCTGTAGCTCGGGGTGAACGCTCTGTGTGGAGGAAAAGGTGATAGAGGGATTCCCACCTAGTTAAGAACACAGTCCCACCCTAACTGCCCAGCTCGGATGCCACCGCAGCTATATAAGGTATCCGCAGTGGGGAAACTGGGTACACAGGATTCTCTATAATATTTTTTACAGACTCTTAGGAGTCCATAATTATTTCAATATAAAAAGCTTTTTAAAAAAGCAACCCTACTAATTGGATATAGATGTTATAGAATGACTACATAGATCACAATAACAATCTCTCCTGGGCAGTCTAAACACATCGTTCTTATTTAAATGAAGATGTGAAAATATGGAAACCTTTCTCCAGCCCAATAACTGAAAGTATTCAACAGTAAAGATAAATAAAATATTGGGAGCTGAAGAGGTTTTATGAGTTATGTTTCTTGAAGTCTCTGTTTTGTTATTAAGTGAACTCAGTCTCGGGAACTGCTGTAACACTTTGTGAGCGGATTTTGTTTGGAAAGCCAATGCCTCCAATGTGATGGAATGAAGAGACCTTGAATGGAACCCTGGAAATCCCATCTAGGCTTAATAGCCACATTTTTTTTTTTTGACAAGTAAGTACTGTGTAGAATGGGAGCAGCAGATAATTATCCTTAATTCAACCAGTTTTACTTCAATTCATTGGTAAGCTGAGAGAACTTAGGTCAGCATGGGGTTCTCTCAACTTCCCAGTTCTTTAACAAACAACGGTTCAGGAAGCCTTTGAGCCGTCTCCATCGGCTCTGAGCCACTCAGTGGAGACACCGCAGTATGTCCAATGGGATCTGTAGGGGACAGAAGGAAGTGGCTTCCTTGTGTGTGATGCTATGGGGTTTTGAGGGGTGTCAGTGGGAGCTTCCCAGCCCTCAGGCAGGATGGAGGCTGCCAATCTCTTCAGCTTTAAATAGCCAATGCTTTGGAAATGCATTGAATTGCACCTGTTCTGCTTTTCTCTAGATTAAAAAAAAAATTGCAAAATAGGAATTATTCTGTCAACTTTGGAGGATCCGGGTGGCTTTCTAAATCCCTTTCCTAAGGTATTCTGTATAGTGTAGAGATTGCTTCCGGGTCAGCTGAAGGTCAATGCTCTCTTCACTTGGATTCGTCAAACCTGAAGTAAACACTCAACCATCTCTCTGGCAAAAGACACAGAACGGAAGCAGTAGGTCCCCATGTCCCAAACTATTAGTTATCCCATGAGAGGCCTCACTGTACAGTGCACGGGAAATGACTATCATCTAATTAAAACCTAACAGCTCTTGCAAAGCAATGAGTGGGGCCTGGTCTTGCAAGGAAGTCCTTTGCACCTCTTATGCTGGCAGCCCTTTCCCATCGAATTCAGCCACCGCAATGTGCCACTCATTCCCAATGAGTCTGGAGGACAAATTAGTCAGGTAGTTCTGGGTTAATGGGATCCAGGAGACAGAATCTTGGTTTTTCCTGGCCAACAGTGGCTTTCTGATTAACCTAGCTTGCTCTGTGCTCACACGGGGTCAATCCAGTTCTGTTAAAGCGCTAAAAGGGGCTATCTTTAGATATTCTTCTGGAGATGATTTTACTTTAAGGACTCACTCAGCCTTTGTACACAGATATGGAAATGAAGAAGTTCCTGGAAATAAGTTGTTTTGCCTTGCAAGCACAAGCGTGCCCATCCAGGAAGCCATCTAAGTTCTCCTAATGCCGTAACATTGGATGCTTCGTCCTTATGCTGAGAGATTTCCATGGCTGTGCGTTTCAGTGACAATTTGAAACCTTTCAAAATGTAGTTGCTCTCTTTGATATGGATGTGCCATGTTCTCTGATGTAGGCTCATAGGTCCAACCAGCTGAAAGCCTCAATTTGTGGGCAGAAGAAAGGCGAGGCTGGGGACCCAGCACAAACGGTGTTTACGCCACTGAAGTCCCTTTGAAATGGAGCGACTCTGCATGAGGAAGGCAGCACTTGTGCCACTGCCTCGCCAATTCCAGTGAGGAGCTCATCTTCAATGTAGTGCTCAACGTAGGTGGCAAAACTGTAATTTTTCCCCCTTTTGAAACTATTTTTTCTTCTTTTATTTTTGAAATTCTCATCTAAGCGACAGTTTCTTGTACTATAGTGACTCCTGCTGGGAGAGGTAAGTTGAAGTAGCTGAAGGTCTCTTACAGATATATCAACTCCCGGCCAGTAAAAAAGATGTCCTAAACGCAGGAGATGCAGTTAAACTGTTCCCCTACCTTGGACGCAATGGCTTCTTTCATCACTAAGAACAAACCCCCAGGTTTTACAATTGAGACTGAGAAACTAGTACAGTACTTGTACAATTTTTGATCTACAGCATCACGACGTGAAGCTGCAACAATTAGATGTAAAGGGTCCATTCATGAGGAATAACATCACTTTGACCCTTTGTGTTAGCTCCTACTGCTAATCTTTCCATAAGCGTGAACTTACTTTCAATTTGAAGAAGATGAAAAAGTCTTTTGCAAAACCCCAATACTGTTTTCTGATCTATGCACCTGAATGGAGAAACGGAGTCTTACCTCGTTTTTTTCCACTACAAGCCAAGCTACTTGTAATCCTTCCAAACCTTTAAAGGGGACCTCCCTTGTTAGCATCTCCCAGAGAACCTGTAACAAAAAGAAAATGGAATTTTTATTCTGGTACTTTATATTGGTATATTACTGAAAACGTAGCTAGCATTTAATTGTATCCAATTACTAGAGGTAGCCAACCTTCTGTAGAAACTTAGACGTGTATGTATATATGCATACATAGGACTTCTACCATATGTTATATACTTTCATGTTCTTTGTATATAAAGAAAAAACTTGTTTTAGGAATTGGAGTGTCTACATTTAAGATTTTAAATTAGTGATTAAACTTGATCTTTTTACTCACTGGGATTTTCACATATTCCCACAAACTAGGTTTTGTATTTTGTTAGAGAGCAGTCTTTTTTGCCTTGAATCTCAGATACATTTTTTAATTAGATAGTAACCAGGAATTCAACACAGTTTTTAAAGGTTCAATAATGGCCACATTAAAAAAACAAAGTCTCCAGTTCAAATCACTAGCAAACTCATCTGCCCCTTACTGGCAGATATCTGTAAAATGATAACATTTAGATTTTGTGGTTTGGACAAATTTCCCTCAGAATGAGTCAGTCTAAGGGATCCACTTCTACATACATATATTGTGCCATATTTTAAAGTATAGCACACATTTAATACACATATAGGCTGACTGTGTACATGAGTGAATATGTGCCCCCAACTGTGTGTAAAACTCAAGTGAGGCGATGACCATCAATGGAAATGCTAAGGAAAGCAAGCTAGTGTCAGGATGCAGACTTTGGCTTCTCTTGAAACACTGACTGATGGGGATTTGAACACCCAATTGCTGTCTCTTTTTATTCAAATAGACATCCAAAAAATGTTTTTTGAGACAGAGTCTGGCTATGTAGCTCAGGCTAGCCTTGAACTCAGGATCCTCCCGCCTCAGCCTCCCAAGTGCTTGAATTACAGGCATGTGTCACCATGCCAGCCCGACACCACAAAGTTTGGTCTACTAGTACTTTGCAAAGCACAAAGGCAATTCTATTTTTGCTAATTATCATAATATGACAACCACTATAATTTATTGAGGGCCTAATATGCTCCAAATCCCCATTACATGTGTCCCCTTGAACATTATCAAGCCTCAGAAATTATCCTCAATTTACAGGTGAGGAAATGGGTGTCTAGGAAAGTCAGATAAACTTGCCTACAGACACTCAGCTACCGAGGGAGATGCCAGCTACAGCAGGGATACAAGCTGCTTCCTTCCTCGGAGGCTGTGCTCTGGTCCCATGTGATTCCAGGGATGGGGAAACTCCAGGGCTAGCAGGAACACAGCAGGCACTGCGGTAGGTGTGGAGCCAAGGAAGACTTGGGATGACTCTGCACAGTAGCGTTTGCTCTCCCTGGCTGCAAACTCCCAAGTCTGTTTCTACATAGGGTCCAGCTGGAGGGTAAGGCTCAGTTTGAGCAAGTCCTGTAAGCCTTTAACTGTGTACCCATCATAGCCTCAGTCAGCCTGCTGACTTGTTCAAGCTATAACATGTTAAATGAATGCTGGCTAATACGAAGATAATTAGCAAGAAAATCAGGGAAATTGGCAGATGCTCCTCAAGCATGAGGGGAAAAAAATCCTGAAGCCTCTTCGGGCTTTTAATCAAGTGTGTAAGGTACTTCTTCAGAAGAGCTACTGAATAATTCTATGTGAGTCACACGAGTGATTAGGAAAGGTAAGGGGCATCCCAGAGGGGACGATTCTAGTACTGGCTGGGAGGGAGGGAGAGAGGGTAGGAGGCAGCACAGGTATGGAGTCACCCTGCCACCCTGCCTGGGCAGGGGAGGGGGCAGAGCTAGGCTGAGCAGGAAATGAAGTCCCTCAACTGGCTGTGATGACCACACTCTGTTGGTACTGGGGACAGAGGAGGAAAGGAAGTGAAGAGCGGGGAATGGATCGATTCGGCATTGCTGACGAAAATGGAAATAAGGAGGCAATGGCAAAGAAGTCAGATGCTCCAGGCCCCCAAACACTCAGGTGAACAACTCACGCCTCCCCCTTTCATAGTCTGGGGGGGTGGGCAAGCACAACACACACACAAATGTGTGTCCACATGCAGAATCTGCCTGAATTCTACAGAGTAAAATGCAGCCCCAAGAGTCTGAGGAAATAGCATCACAAGGTACCTCTTCTTCATTTTTTTTAGACCAAAATACTTACCTGGAGAATACCAAAAGTCTAATAAACTAAGAGTTATAACCCAGAAACAATTGGCCAGCGTCCCCCATCTGTGTCTCTGAATAGCTACGACAGCCAAGGGAGGTGCCTGAGGGATTCAAAACCGTGCAGATCGAGGAGCTCACCGCCAGAAGCCTCAAGTTCTGGAACCGACACAGGTCTTCTGTTTGGTTCCAGTCTCCACGCCTCCCATGACTTCCCTTTATTAATTCCCCAGATTTGGGAATGTACCCAAATGAAAGCAGAACCAGTTAGGGTGGCTTTTTTCTACATTCAATAAAAATGACATTTGGCACAAAAAAAGTAAGTTTGTTGAGGAAGTCACTCGGAGGTCTAAAAATACATTAAGCCGATGCCTTAAAATACCAGTTCCGAGGACGCAGGCCAAACACTGCTGTGATCTTTCACCTTAAAAATATTTTCCAACTCATTGTATACCGAGATGTCCTCCCAGCCAAACTGCACTCGCAAGGAAAATTTCTATTTTCCGTGTACAGAGCAGAAACTTGGATGAGACTGTGTGTGTCTGCCTTTTCTCTCACAAACAATAGGAAGCCATTACCTGAGCCTGGCTGGTTCTGGAACAGGGCTCCAGACAAGTTGCAGAGGCTGCCTCTTAAGCTAGTGCAGTCCAAGCGAGCTTTGGCTGGAAGCTCCTAGGAAGGTAACCCTTGGCACCAGGGAGGGCGACAGGCCGTGGGTTCTCCCAAGGCTGGCCTGCCAGTCATCTGGGTTCTTCTTTTTAGCAGATCATGTACTCAACATACTCCCAATCTTTCAGGAGACACTCTTCTGGGGGTGCATAAACACCCCTTTCTTGTTAAATGGGGAAAGGACAATTGCCTGCCTAGCACTGCTTGGAAACAGGAGTTTCTTTGAAGGCAGTGCAAGGCTTGGTAGTCTTGCCATGTGTTAAGAGCAACACAAGATTATCAGTCGAGAAAGGCAAAAAGCAAAAACCTGTCTTGGCTTTTGTGGGTGAGTTTCAAAAACCAACACTTTGATACCTGTGTTCTTCATGAACTATGGGATGGTTTATGTTAGAAGGATGCTCCTCCTTTTGAAGGGACACCACAGTTCTGCATAAGCATACTGTTGTTTTTAGGTTGATGCCATTTTTGAAGTTTGAGGACCACAAACTCCTGTGCCTAACATGGCCTCAATGGGAACAACTACTCTCTCTTTCTCTGGTGTCCAACCCACTGGGAACTCACAGTGGCTTTTCGTGTTTGTTTGTTTAAAACAAAGGGTTCTGGAGAGCAAGCCTTGGCTTTTCCCCTTGCACGGATGATGCTTATTTAGAATGAACAGAAGGAGAGGTGTTACACGCAATAATGCATACTCATCACTAAATTAACTGGAGTTCTGCTGACAGAGTTCTCTGTGAGGCCTGCCAGGCTTCTCAGCCAAACTTCACCTAAAGAGAAACTAACAGCAGAAGATGATTTTTATCTTTACTTATTTTATGCATGTGGCGGTCAGACAACGACGACTTGTGAGACTCTGTTCTCTCCTACCATGTGGGTTAACTTAGGGATTAAATTCAGTTCCTCAGGCTTCCCAGAAAACACCATTAGCCACATTGAGCCATTTCTCGGGCCCAGATGCTGGCTTTGCTGTTGTTTTGAGATGTATATTTATTTTATTTTATGTTGTTTGCGTGAAGGTATGTCTGTGCATGACATGTGTGCAGTGCCTGCAGAGGCCAGAAGAGGGCATCAGATCCCCTGGGACTGGAGTTTCAGACAGTTATCAACCCCCACGTGGGTGCTGGGAACTGAACTGGGGTCCTCTGGAGGAGCAGCCATCTCTTCGGCCTCCTAGAAGCTGTTTTTGAAGAGACAGGGAAACATTTTTATTTCTGCAACTCAAGGGCAGGAAGGCTCTTGCATGAATTTGGAATAGAGACTTACACAGTCAGGGGACGGGACAGTCGGGGTTCTAAGCTGCACCTGGTGTGTGGTGTAGTGTAATCCTGGCAGTGTGGATGTGTTTTAGGAAATGGTTTCTTAAGTTCCTGTTAAGTCCCTTTCCTAGCTGGCAGGATGGCTCATGTCTTTAATACCAGAGGTTAGGTAACAGGCAGATAGATCTCTGTGAGTTCTAGGCCAGCCTAGCCTACATAGTAAATTCCAGGTCAGCCAGGGCTACATAGCAAGCCCTTGACTTACAAACAAAACAGAACAAAACCATCCTTCCCCCCCCAAGGAAGCCAAACCAAGGCACGCACAGGCAGGGTGGTACACATGTAGACGGAAGACCTCCTGTGTGAATGCAGAGATCCGTCTCTCAAAAGCGGTGGCCAGTCTCTGGAGTGAAAGGTTTTTCTGAACAAATGGAAAACCTACAGCTCTGGAAAGATGGCTTCAGACTGTGCTTAAGGAAGTGATCAGTGAGAACTGCCAAAGGGATTTAAAGTCACAGGAGAGATCTTAGCTCGGTATCAGAAGTCATGGCTCAGCAGCTCTGGTTTCCAGGGGAAAAGGCATTAATTCTTGGCTACAGGCACCAAAAGGGTACAGTTTTAAGGAAAGGCAGACCAGTGCATTTCACATCAAGTCCAGGCATCTGGAAGCTTTTGAAACAAAGTGATACAGACTTTATTTTCATAAATGCAGTAATCCTGAAACTAAAAGGCTATTCTATACATAACTCATAGCTGTGACTTTAGGTCAAAAATTTCAATAGGGAAATTCCAAGGCTTGGGGAGAATTGTCAAAGGAAATACAATAATGGACTGTTGGAGTAGAAAATAAGCCGCAAACCATCTGACTAACAAACTGTGCAAGCTAATTTAAAACCATTACTGTCTAAGCACGTTTCTCTATTTTCATATACACCTGCACATGCAAGGAGAGTTGGCCTCCTGCTCAGTCACATGACCAGCTGGACTATGGTCAAACGACCCACATGTTTCGGCCACTCTGACGTCTTCCCGAACCCCCTTGCTCCATAGACGGGTCTGCAGAGGCTGGCCTGCTGCAAAGCCCAGAGCGTTTCTGTCAGGTTTAAGGAGTTTCGGAGCAGCCTCAGCTGCCAGAATGGAAGCACCCTCAAAGCTGAAGCCATGGCTGCCTGGCCCCTTATAGCAAAAGCACACTGGTTTCTGTTCAACAGCATGAAGTGAGGTCCGGGCACTGCCAGACACGCTACGTGGAATGTCAATCCACCCGCGCTGCTGTCCAGCCCAGAGACTAACTCAATAAGCCATCATTTTCCCGAATAAAGGAATGTAACTTGGTAAGAGAAAATAATTTCACAAAAGACTTCATTTTTCTCCTTCTGTAGTACTGGGGATTGAACCCAGGGCCCTGAATATGCTGGGCAAGTGTTCCACCTCCCAGCTAAGCCCTAGCACAAAAAGTCTTCAACTGTAACAAAGCTCCCCTTTTCGGAATTTCCAAATGAGTGTGAGACAATTATACTGTAATGACCCCTGACACAGAATGCAGCTTCAGAAGCTGGTGTCCTCTGGAACTATGGCTCTGCTTCTCCCCTTCTATCACTGAGAACTATTTCTTCACTTTCAGTAGTAATGTGGTTTCCATTCTTAGAAACGTTCAGAACGAAGGGGAATTAGACATTTAAAGTGGATGCCAGTGTCATCCTTTAAAACCAAAGACTTGCTGAGCATAGTGGCACACGCCTTTAATCCCAGCACTTGGGAGGCAGAGGTGTAAGGATGGATCTCTGTGAGTCTGAGGCCAGCCTGGTCTACAGAACGAGTTCCAGGACAGCTAGGGCTACACAGAGAAACCCTGTCTCAGAAAACAAAACAAAACCAACAAAACAAAACAAACAAAAACAAAAACCCTAGACTTTAGCTAAAAATATACCTATTCTTGAAATTATTTTCAATAGCCAACAAAATTCACCTGAGCATAAGAAGTTCAGGATTTCAGAAGCACGAGACAACTGGGAAGTCCCCACACAGAGGGAAGCCAGCAGACTGACAGGGGAAAGGGGCGTGCCTGACGTGTGGTCCTTCTCTGGCCATTGCCTCCCACCTCAGGAAGAAGGGTATGCCAAGGGGGCGTGAGCTAGTTCTTACAATGAAAGTGTCCCTCTTGCAAGGTGATATAAATGGGGACATGGTATACGTGGCCTAGATGGTGACGAGATCTAGAGATAAAGCATGTACAACATTTTAGGGAAAAAACATCTTCAAAAAAGGGGCCAGAAAGAATTCCTTCCTGCACCAGGAGCTACCCTACCAGAAGTTTCTTCCTCGCAAAGGACCCTTCCTTACCTGGTTCCTCCCCACATTCTATCTACCCTTGTTCCCATTGGTTGTCACTCTCCGGTAACAAACTTCAACACATGTCTTTGTAGGACTTGCAGCAGACCTGGGGTAAGGTTATCTGGTCTGACGACATGTTCTTTTATAGTTCTGGAGATGCACAAGCCCGGCTCACTTGGTCTGACTACATGTTCTTTTATAGTTCTGGAGATGCACAAGCCTGGCTCACTTGGCGGTTATTGGCGTCTACACACCATGTGGGCAGTCTATTACAATGCAGTGTATTCCATGAGACCCGCAGGATCAGTGAATTACACAGTTATTCTACAGTCTATTTCCACCCCGCACAGTGCATTTAGGGTGGGGATTGGGGGGTTGGGAGGAGGGGGAGATGACGGGAGTGGGGGAGCATTGATCAGGTTCTGCATTATTCACTTCTTGGAAGCAGTGATCGTTCTTCTCAACGCAGGGCAGATAACTGGAGTCACAAGTGATCAAAGCACACACTGTGACGACTAGAAAGCTCTGTCCCTATGCCGCCACTGTAGGTGATCCTCCTGTCTCAGACACAAGCTTCTCTAGGCTGTTTGCCCCTCGTATGTCCCTTGGTGAACAAGAAACGGGAAACACACTCACCACACCGTAGGAATACGTGTCACAGGTTTCAGACACAGGGAGACTCTGGATAACTTCTGGAGCCATCCATGGGAAAGTTCCAACCAAGGACATGTGTGTTGTGTGGTTATGGAACCGAGAGGCACCGAAGTCACAGATCTGAGGATACAGGAACCAACATCAGCTTTTTACCCAACTCTATGAGAGATCATCAGTCATGAGACCTCCATCAGAAATGAACAACTTTCTCCAGATGAAAGGAAACAGCCTTACCTTCAGTACTCCGTCAGCAGCAATAACAACTGAAAGAGAACACAGAGAAATTACGATAACCATTTTGTTTGAATTGTCTTACACTGAAGAAAAGCAGAGTTTCATCTTTTTTTTTTTTTTTTTGGTTTTTTGAGACAGAGTTTCATCTTTCTAATTTTGACACCACTACATTTCTAACTTCACAGTATAAGCTGGGCATGGTAGTATGTGCCTGAAATCCTAGGCTGAGGCAGGAGGACTACCATGAGTTTGTGGCCAGCCTGGGCTATATAGCAAGAACCAAACCTGTCAGGGATATATAACAAGATCTTGTTCCAAACATGTGTGCGCACGTGAGCGCGTGCACGCACGTGCACACACACACACACACACATGCACACACGCACACACACACAGACAGACAGACAGACAAAAAGACAGAGAGACTGAGACACACACACACAGAGACAGAGAGTAAGAAACAGGGAGAGATAGACAGAGACAGAGAATTTTATATTATAAAAGGTATATTTGCTGAATTTGAGAGTTTGTATAAGGGAGACAGCATTTTAAAATACTTAATTCCACGAGGTGCTGCTCCAAATGGCTGTTAAGATACTTGCTTCATACAAATGCAGTGAGGGAGACAAGGCACTGATATCGCACTCTCCGAGAAAGAGAACGGAGGAGTAGCTTGCTAAGGCAGGAGGGGGACATGGGAAGGGCAGTTTGGACATAATACTTTTTTATTTTTATTTTTATTTTTTGGTTTTTTGAGACAGGGTTTCTCTGTGTAGTTTTGGTGCCTTTCCTGGAACTCACTCTGTAGCTCAGGCTGGCCTCGAACTCATAGACCCGCCTGGCTCTGCCTCCCGAGTGCTGGGGTTAAAGGCGTGCGCCACCACCGCCCGACTCTCAGATATTTCTAATAAACAGTTTCAAAGTGGACATCAGCTTGGGAGCATTGACACAGAAGTTGGACTGTTATGGGAGTGGGAAGACAAGAGAGAAGCTTACGGATTGAAGCCTCAAGAGGGTTTCTGGGATTTGTTTAGTAAGCCACCCAGTGTTTGAGCATGGTAGATCATCAATACGGCAGCTGTTCCTAGTGATTTTGATAACTGAAGAAAATATTCTGTGTGATCTAATACATAAAAATAGCCTCAAAGTAAATGTATGGTTGGGAGGAATGAGCTGCATACTTTTGCAAAGAAAAATGTAAATAAATATTGCTATTATATTCTATTCTTAAAATATCTCCCTATTCCTCTTTCTTAATGGAAGATTAGCAAGTGCTCCTTTAAAAAATAACATTAGAAAAAAACTTACTATGGGAGCTGGAGAGATGGCTCAGTGGGGATAAAAACACCTGCCATGCAGCCTGGCGACCTGAGCTGGACCCCAGAAACCCATGCATAAAGGTGGACAGCAAGAACTGACTGCACGAAGTTGCCCCTGCCTGTCAACAGCACACCACAGCATGTGCACGTACACTAATACACACATACCAGATGCACACATCCACTAATCATGTGTTTTGATTTTCATTACATTTATTTACTTATTTTGTGTATGTGTGTGTGTGGGGGGTGCATATAGGCCATGGGAAGCACATGGAGATCAGAGAGGAACATGTGAGAGTCAATCCTCTCCTTCTAATGTGTGGCTTCTGGGCACCGAACTCAGGTGGTCAGGCTTGGTGGCAAGTGCTTTTACCCACTGAGCCAACTGGCCAGCCCCTAACTTAAGTTTTCAAAAATACTCGGGAAAATGAAGTCTCACTCCTCCCCGTAAAAATAAATTGCCAAAGTTAGGCTGATCTGGTCATCTTTTCATGTTAATGTTTCCCATTAACAACATCACTTGTAATTTTTTAAAAATGAGGAACTGGCCATTGTTGTACAGCCTTCATGCTAAGTACATGGGTTTGAAAAATCAAATAACTTGTTTATATTGAGCTTAACAGCATGAACTGAAATTTTAGTCATAAAAGCCTGCTACTTCCTACCCGATTAGAGATGATTTTCTAATGACGTCCTGTTAGCCAGCTCTGTATCGTAAGTATGTCTGTCCCAGAAGAACCAAAGAGCAAGCGAGGATGGAAAGGGTGTGACACTAAGTTGAGTCAGCCAACCAGGTGAGGAGGGGCGGGCCTGGATTCCTGATGGTGGCAGCTGCTTACAACTTCCTGCCCTTCCTGCTCACCACCTGTCAGACCTGGGCCTGGAGGTCCCGAGTGGGGCAGAGCATCTGGGGCCCTGCCCAGGCTCTCTGGCCACCTGCTGCCATCCGCTAGTCTAAGGCTCACATTGTTGGTAAATTTCCGTTTTAGCTGCAGTGATATTAAATTTCTAAGAATAAATGCTTTCCAGCCCTACCAAGTTCACTGGACAGTGTAGAAACAACCAAGAGCAAGGTCTGCTTTCTTTCTTCTCTTAGGCAGCAAACTCGGATGCCTACTTAGCTCCACTAAAGCTAAACAGTCCTACTGCCTTTCTGATAACTCTGAAGTGACGTAATGGAAGAAGGTAGCGCCTAATCCTGGGAGCTATTTTAAGACGCTCACTTTCCAAACGATAAATATAGGCTCATAAAGTATAGAAAGCACAGACTAGAGAAAGAAAAAAGAAAGGCCTTTACATTCTGAACTCTCAAGCATGCTGGTCATTTTGGGGCACTACTCCAGGTAACATGGGCATGAGTGACCAAAAGATGTATACCATATAATTCAGAAATAAAACTCAAAACTGCTGGCAGCAGGAAGCATCTAAAAATAGGAGATGTACAATACATGACTACACACTTGGACCTGCCAATGCCGATTTTAGAAAAAGATCCTAAGGAAATAATCAGAGATGTGTTAAAAAAACAAAAACAAAAACCATAAGCAATCCAGTTGTCTCTGTCCCGTGTTAGGCTCACACAGTACGACACTAGGCACCTACCTCAAATAACATACAGATTTTGCTATTTATTGATAGTGAAAATGTTCTTATGGTAGAGTGTAGCCCAACAATGAGTTACAAAAACCACGTAAAGCGTCATGCTGATTTGATTGGCAGGTGCGTGTGAACTGTAGTAAAAGAGTAAGATCAAGAGGTGTGGCCACTTACCGTTTCTTGACTTGAGGTCTCTGTGGATGACCTTGACTGGCGCCTCCATGTGTAAGTAGTGCATCCCTTTCGTACAAGAGGGAAAGAGGATTAATGGTTTGCAATATTGCATTAGCATGAACATTCACAACTTTGCAAAGACATCCATAGCTGAAAATAAGCCCACGTGTTCTCCTCCATGCGCCATAAAAGAAAAAAAAAATCACATATGTCCACATTAGTAACATTCTTTCCAGCAAAGCCACTTTATGGTGGATAATCTCATTTCTTAGAGTACCCAAGGAAGACCATAGTTTTCTCAGATCTGCATGAAAACAGTATAGCGAAATGAGCAAAATGACCCCTGAGCGTCCCACCACCAAGCGCATGCTATGTCTGCTCAAGCCGAGGCTCCTCCTCTCTCATCCGGACCTCTGCAGCCAATGTGCCGCAGCGACATTACTTTTCTCCAAGACAGAACGGGGTGTGGGCAGCAGGCCCGCTGATGGGCAAGGCTGTTGTGGTCTTCTAACAGAGGCACAAGGCTTACAAGGTATTTTCTTCTCACAAGAATAAATCTCCAAATTCACTCCGATCTATTTATAATACAAATTAAGGTACTCTATATACCAGATGAATCAAATGTCAATATTTTTATTATTTTGAATGAGAAATTATACTTTAAGATATATTTCATAGTTATCCCTTTAAAAGTATTTGGTTGTTTTTGTTTTAGGCAAAAACAGAAACTGTAGGGAAAAACACATTTTCTACACAGGACTTCCTCTCATTTCTCAGGTTCTCTTTTCCAAATAGTAGAAGAAATAGTCCTTCCCCACACCAAATCAAACAGGACCTCTCTTTTTTATGAGATGCCCATGAAAGTAACTTAATAAGTACGCTTGGGTTTTTTTTCAAATACACAGCATGTTACAATTTTATAAAGGTGAATTTATTAATAGCTATTCTTTTACTACTCTGGTTATTATATATTGAGGCATCAAAAGAACAAAGAAAATAAGAAAAAAGTTTTAACTCTTGTTACATAATGATATCACTGAAAAGAATCAAGTTAACAGAAGTATTAGTAACTCAAATGATCTTAACGGATGTAACTGGGATAAAGGGTCTCATTTAATAGCAAGTTCTACATATTCAAGCTGTAAAGTTCAATAGCTGCTACTTGCGTGGCACTTAATAGCCTATATACTGAATTTCATAGTTATGTCTTCCTTGCTTTAAAATAAAATTTCCAAATAATTTTCAGGTATAGTCTATTTGACTATGATTAGAAGCAAGAATAGATGATTTTTGTACTTGCTAACAAGGATTTCAAAAGGGAAGACTTGACTATAAAATCTTCAAACATAGGCATTTTTCTGCTCTGTCAGATTATCAGAAGAAAAAGTCCCAATCGGTGCTCAGTGCATAGGACCCAGCTTTGAAAACTTAGTGTACTTCTCACTATGTATTATTATCAGAAAATTCAATTTAATTTTTTTTGAGTGACCTGCTTTGTTTTTATTGCAAACCATTGAAATGGGCTGAAAAATACTTTCATCTGGTTTAGCTATTTGTGAATTCTCTCTCTTTTGGAGAAGAAGTTTGAGACAGGGTTTCTCTGTGTAACAGCTCTGGCTGTCCAGGAACTTACTCTGTAGACCAGGCTGGCCTCGAACTCACAGAGATCCACCTGCCTCTGCCTCCTGCATGCTGGGATTAGGGGCGTGCACCACCACTGGGCATATTTGTGAATTCTTTTTTTTTTTTTTTTTTTTTTTTTTTTCGAGACAGGGTTTCTCTGTGTAGTTTTGATGCCTTTCCTGGAACTCACTCGGTAGCCCAGGCTGATCTCAAACTCACAGAGATCCGCCTGGCTCTGCCTCCCGAGTGCTGGGATTAAAGGCATGCGCCACCACCGCCTGGCTTTTGTGAATTCTTAATAAGATCTGACAGGTACCAGGGAGGAGGCTGGGGGAACTTTGGATCGAGGCTGCATTCACGGCAGCCTGCTCTAATTGCCCCTCGTATACAACTTGGATGTGCGTGCTCTCCCACACCCACTCCTCTTCCTCCTGGAAAGGAAGAGCATCCTTGCAGCTCTGAGTGCCGCTCTCCCCAGCAAAGACATTGAGCAATGCCTATTTCCAAATGCATGAGTCAACTCTCAGAATGAATTATTCATTCTCTGATGTCTCAACACATCATTGCTTCAGGGGCTTCAATCATGGTCAAACCAAAAGACACACAGGCTGAATTTGAAATGGAATCAACCAAAGTCGAGCTTTGCTATTTAAAGTTTATGCTTAGCTGTAGGGGAGAGGGTTGAAGTCAATCTTAAAGTATGCATTCCTTTTTCCTTTTACAGGCCATCTGAAATAATTCCTACATTTTACATATCACTTAGGATTATGAGTAAATGGGGCCAATTTCTGAGGCCAAACACATGAGAATTTGTCTTTTAGACGAATTCTCTTATCAGGCAAGAGGGATCTTATTAGCTGTGACTTAGACTCTTCCCACCTTCCTTATCCTGCTTCTCTGTTTCCATTGTGCTACTTAATTCTGTTCACTCTCTTCCCTATTCTTCTAAAGTGGAGAAGCAGCTCTCTTGATAAACTCGAGAGAATTGACAAGGCTATTCTGGAGCCAAGAGATCTGGTCCTCAGACAGGACCGCGTGACAGAGGCGGAGTGGGTGCTGCAGCTAGGCACGGGGGACTCGAAGGTAGAGCAAGCACAGCTGGAGGCTGTCACTTGATTTGTTTGCTGTCTATCCATCCTAAGTACCATTAGTAATAACAGGAGTGTAATTAGCTGAGCACCCAAAACATAACGTCAGTAAAGTGCAATAAGGACTGTGTGTGTCTCCATTCATGCAGGCGCATTTCCACAATGCTGCAGGCAACTGCCAGTGTCGGTGTGACCTTGCCTACTCTCAGGTGCTCCTTGTGTACTATGGGCACTCACAGGTGCTCCTCGTGCACTATGGATACTCACAGGTGCTCCATGTGTACTATGGACACTCACAGGTGCTCCCTGTGTACTAAGGGCACTCACAGGTGCTCCATGTGTACTATGGGCACTCACAGGTGCTCCTCGTGCACTATAGACACTCACAGGTGCTCCATGTGTACTATGGGCACTCACAGGTGCTCCTCGTGTACTATGGGCACTCACAGGTGCTCCATGTGCACTATGGACACTCACAGGTGCTCCTCGTGTACTATGGGCACTCACAGGTGCTCCATGTGTACTATAGACACTCACAGGTGCTTCTCGTGTACTATGGACACTCACAGGTGCTCCATGTGTACTATGGACACTCACAGGTGCTCCCTGTGTACTATGGGCACTCACAGGTGCTCCTCGTGTACTATGGACACTCATGGGTGCTCTATGTGTACTATGGGCACTCATAGGTGCTCCATGTGCACTATGGACACTCACAGGTGCTCCATGTGTACTATGGACACTCACAGGTGCTCCTCGTGTACTATGGACACTCACAGGTGCTCCATGTGTACTATGGACACTCACAGGTGCTCCTTGTGCACTATGGACATGCACAGAAGTGACTATGATATTACATGAAAGCATCTTCAAGAACATGGAAGATAAGCATGTTAAGATAAGCATGAATACATTGGTAAGTTCATCACCACAGCCCAAGAGCAGCACCTTCAAACACAGGGCTGCTTACATCTAACTCACAGGTAGCGAGTGGCAGCATTAGCATAAAAGCTAATTTGCTTTCTTTTGCTTTTCCTGTTTGAGGAATTTGGCAGGTGCTGGGAAAACTTAAAGCAGTCGAGATAACTCCCCCACAGAAGAGGCTCCTGCTGAAGCTGCCATGTAGCTTTATCTTCACCATGAAAACAAAATATAAGCTGCTTCCCTTAGAACACTAGGCAGCACTATATATTTGCTTTCTAAAGAGAAGTCTGTAGGAAGAGCGTTAGGATGCACAGGGGCTAACTACCCTGGGAAAATGCCAACCACTTGCTAGAGGATCCCAGAACACAAATGTGATGAACACAGCCATTACTTAGAAAAAGTCGAATCCAAGGCAATTCTGACAGATGATAAAAACTCCAAACAGCTCAGGTAAGAAAGTGCAGAAAAAGGAGAAAAATTAATAGCACTTGTATTTCTTCAGAAAGCATTAATCTACGCAGGAATTTCTAGGGAGGGAGGAGAATCAGGAAGCTGGCTGGGGATTTTGCATACTTAAAATATTTAATTTTCAAGGGTGACATCCACTCTACATAAAATAAACTCTGAGCTACTTTTCATGCAGGACAGTAGTTACTATTTTAGTACATAATTATGTATTCAAAGTGAACAGGACCAGTCCTACCATAAGTCACATTCTTAGAGGCCCATGGAGAGACTCTTAGGACAATAGAACTATGATTTTCCCATTTAATACGGCAAGTGGGTTTGTCAACTACAATGTCACAAAACAGCACAAATCTCTGCCCTGAAGCTTACTGACTTGGTAAAACTTGATTTTAAGGAAATAAGTGAAGAAAGAAAACAGTAAAAGACAAAGGATACGCAGTAATGGAAAGGCAATGACTGAAAATACTGTCTGTACCATGAGTTGAATTATATTTTACTATATCTGATCTAAAAAAGAACACCTGAAGACATAGAATAGAAACCTTGCTGACACACTCTCCCAGGTCAGAGGGGGAAGACACCACCCACCTCTGCAGGTGCCCAGCAAGCAGCGTTACCTTTGGCTACGTCGGTGGCCCAGGTCATGATGTGATCCATGTCCATCTCTTCACTCCTGTTGCTGTTAATGTAATCGTACAGGGATCCGAGGGAAGCATATTCTGTATTAAAAGAAGTAAGTAGAGTATTAAAGTTGTGCTTTGGAAACGAGACTATCTTTTCTCTATTCATTGAGAAAACATATTAAAGAGCTTAACAAAGGTTCTATTACTAAGAGTCACCTTGGTCATGGTGTCTCTTCACAGCCACAGAAGAGTGACTGGACAGTTTTACTCTTTTTTCCAACTTGATGCTTTTTATCTCTTCCTCTTGCCTGAGTGACTGTGTGGAGCCTTCAGTACAATGCTGGATAAATGTGGTAAGAACAGAATTCATCTTGTGCCCAGCCTTGGGGAAACAGCTTTTTCAGTCATTGAGTATGATGTTAGCTGTGGATTTTTGTGATGCTATTCACTGAGAAAATTCCTTTTTACTCCTACTCTGAGGGGATTTATCATTATCGATGGATGTCAGAGTCTCTCGAGTGCTTTCTCTAAGGACTGGGGATATAGCTCAGGGATAGGGCACTCTCCTAGCATGCCTGAGGCCCTAGGTTCAATCCCTAACACTACCAAAAAGAACCAAACAACAATCAAATGCTTATTTCGAATCTTGGAAATGTCCATATTTTAAGTTTCTGTTTCTTATTCTATTACCTGTTATTGTACCTTATATGAACTGATTTCAGATGTTAAGCCAACACCTTGCACTCCACTGGTCATGGAGTACAATCTTTTATTATTGCTATTTTTCTTAATTTAACTAAGATAAAATTACATCATTGCTTCCTCTCTCACCTCCCTTCTACCCCTCTCACGTCTGGCCTTTCTCCCAAATTCACAGTTCCCTCTTCGGTAACCACTGTTCTTATATATACATATAAATGACTAGACATATATGCACAACCGGCTGAGTCCTTTCCATGTTGCCCACATTTCTAGAGCTGACCATTCTGCACTAGGTAACCATCCGGGGCTCATCCCTGGGGAAGACTAATTCTCCCTCCCTCAACAGTTGTTAATTTGATTGTAGCTCTTCATCTAGGGGTGTGGCCAGTGAGATTTCCTCCATCTACATTGGGATATCTACTGTTGTTGGAATCACTCAGGTCTTGCTGATGCAGCCCTGTGATGGAGTCTAATCTTTTAATATGTGGCTGAATTCTTAATGCTAATATAATTATGAAGCTTTGTATTGCATGTGTGAGAGAAACTGACCTGTTTTTCCTGATCATGTCTTTGTGTGGCTGCTTTGGTGTAAGAATAATACTGGCCTTATAGACTACTAACCTCTCTCTTCAAACAAAGTATGAGAAAGAAAGGGTTGGTATTATTTCTTCTATAAATATCCAGTTGAATTCAGTAGCAAAAACAACCATCTTTTCTCTATGGAAATATTTTAAACTACTAATGAAGTTTTTCTTATACACAGAGTCAGATTTTTCCTTGAGTCAGTTTTATTGTTGTTTTATTTTGTTTATTTGAGACAGGGTCTCAGGTAGACCAGGCTAGACTCAAACTTGCTACATAGGAAAAGCTTGCTTCGAACTCCCAATATTCCTGCTTGCACCTCCAAGAGCGGACACCACGTCGGAGGTCCAGCTCTCAAGTGTCATCTTAGGGGATGGCTGATGGCACACCAGCACTCTCATTTATTAGCACAGTTGCTCATGTCACTCGTGATCTTCTGGGGCTCCCTCAGGAGTCACAACATTCTCTTCTCTCCATCTGTGGCTTTGCCAGTGTCTCTCTTTACTTAGTCAGTCTGGCTAAAGATTCATCAATTTTATTAAATGTTTAAAAAGCAAGCCTTTGGTTGATTTTTTTCTCTGCCAGTTCAATCTTCCATTTTACTGCACCTGCTCTAAAGTCTTACTTTTTCTTTTCCATGTCTTACTTTGGTCCTATTTGATTCTTCATTCTGCTGTTTCTTCAGGATGAAGATGCTGATGTTATCGAGATCAAACTGCTTCTCTTTCAGTACAGCTGCTGGAGAGTACACACTCCATGTTCAGTGCTACACTCCACAGTTCGGGCAGGCTGCCATTTTCCTTTCTTCTAGTCCAAATCTTTAAGGATCCCTTGTGGTTTCTTTGGTGATCTTGTAGGCATTTAGAAGCATGCTATTTAATTTTCAAATACTCAGGGCTTTTTACCATGTCCTTTGGTTGCTTATTTATTCATTCATTTATTTATTTACTTTGATTTTGCAAGACAGGGTTTCTCTGTGTAGCTTTTGCGCCTTTCCTGAAACTCACTCTGTAGCCCAGGCTGGCCTCGAACTCACAGAGATCCGCCTGGCTCTGCCTCCAGAGTGCTGGGATTAAAGGCGTGCACCACCACCGCCCGGCGCCTATTTTTAGTATAATTCACCTGTGGTTGGTGCAGCATCTATTTCCAACAAACTGAATATTATTTAATGACCTCACTTACACTATACTCTGAAGAACGCCCCTTGTTGGATGGTGTGCTATGCAGATGTGAGTTAGGGAGAGTTAGCTGAGAATGTTCTTCAACTTCTTTATACCTCAGCCAATTCTGTTTAGTTATTCTATCAATTATTGAAAGGTAGATTTGTAGAGAGCCGTGCATGGCCGTGCCTCAAAGATGGCGCGGCGTCCGGCTTCTGCCTTCCCGATGGCAGGTGCTCTTTATTTGGTTAAGGCTAGGATCTGGCTTGCTTCCGCACACCTGGACCTAATCTGGCTTGCTTGCGTATGTCTGACCCTATCGGCATTGTCCACGTGGCACTACGGGGTTGATAGCCCAGTGGCTATAAAGGGCATGGGCTGGCTTTCCCCGGGAGGAAGATCGGAGGGGAGGAAGGAGAGAGAGAGAGAGAGAGAGAGAGAGAGAGAGAGAGAGAGAGAGAGAGAGAGAGAGAGTGAGAGAGTGAGAGAGAGAGAGAGAGAGAGAGAGAGAGAGAGAGTGAGAGAGTGAGAGAGTGAGAGAGTGAGAGAGTGAGAGAGTGAGAGAGTGAGAGAGTGAGAGAGTGAGAGAGTGAGAGAGTGAGAGAGTGAGAGAGTGAGAGAGTGAGAGAGTGAGAGAGTGAGAGAGTGAGAGAGTGAGAGAGTGAGAGAGTGAGAGAGTGAGAGAGTGAGAGAGTGAGAGAGTGAGAGAGTGAGAGAGTGAGAGAGTGAGAGAGTGAGAGAGTGAGAGAGTGAGAGAGTGAGAGAGTGAGAGAGTGAGAGAGTGAGAGTGAGAGTGAGAGTGAGAGTGAGAGTGAGAGTGAGAGTGAGAAGATGGCTTTCCCCGGGGTCAGAAGATTGTCTCAAGGTTCCTGAATAAACTGCTTGGAGAAGAGCCTGGTGTTGCGTCTTCCTTGCTGGTCGAGGTGGACGCGACATAGATTGAAACTAATTATTGTTCAATTGCTACAATTATTACAGATCTCTAGTATATTCACCCCCTTATCATTATAAAATGGCCTCACTCATTGCTACTATTATATGTAGTCTATTTTGTGTGAAGTTAGGATAGATACCTCGGTTTCTAATGGGTATTATTGGCATAGAACATCCTTCTCTTTCTTATTTTTGACTTGTGTCTTTGACTCCGATATGTGTTTTGTAGATAGTATATACTTCAATCTTGTTTTGTTATCCTATCTAAGAAGTCTCTGCCTTTTGAGTGGAATATTAAGACCACTCATATTTAATGTAATTAATGACATAATTGGGTTTACATCTGCCATCTTGTTTTCTTTATGTCTCCTGTCCTCAGTCAGATGTTCCTTATTTACTGCACCCTAATGTGTCATTTTAATTCCTTGATTATTTTACAGATTTATTTTCAAAATTGTGTGTGTGTGTGTGTGTGTGTGTGTATTCATGAAGAGGCCAGAGGTGTTAGATATAACCCTGGAACTGGACTCACAGGCAGTTATGAGCCACCTGACATGGCTGCTGGGAACTAAACTCAAATCCTCTGCAAGAGTAGTATGCATGTTAAAACAGGCTCTCATTATGTCTCTGTGGCTGGCCTCAAGACCACTACATAGACCAAGCTGGCCTCAAATTCATAGAGATCTGCCTGCCTATTCTCTTGAGTGCTGGGATTAAAGGCGTGCGCCACCAACCAGGCTCTTAACTGCTGAGCCATCTCTTCACCCCTTTGATTATTTTTTTTAATAGGGTCTTCCTGTACAGCTCAGGCTGGTCTCAAATTCACAGTCCTGTGCTTCGGCTTCCTGCGCACTAGGATTATAGACTCCTGCCACCTCCTGATCAATGTGTTTTTAATTTCTTGAGTGACTTTTTTGTGGTGACTCAAGGAATGATAAAACACACTTTATAGCACAATAATTCAGATGAATACTAATCTAAAATATAAAATATTTATACTCTTTTCTCCACTATGACTATTTCTCCCTGATCTTTTATACTATTATTGCAATAAGTTAAATTTATATGTTTTAATCAATAAAACATTTCTAGCTCTATAAAATTTTGTTTTTAAACATGTTATGAAAGAGAAATGAAAATGTATTTAAAGAGTCTTTATATCAAGTCACATTTTCATCATTTCTCTTACCACGAACTCTTTCCTTAGAGTTTTTTTTTTTTTTTTTTTTTTGGTTTTTCGAGACAGGGTTTCTCTGTGTAGCTTTGCGCCTGTCCTGGAACTCACTTGGTAGCCCAGGCTGGCCTCGAACTCACAGAGATCCACCTGGCTCTGCCTCCCGAGTGCTGGGATTAAAGGCGTGCGCCACCACCGCCCGGCTCCTTAGAGTTTTTTATTATCTAGTGTGTTCTTTCAGCCCAGAGGACTTCCTTTAATATTCCTTTCATTTGTTATTTCAATACTAAGGCTCACACTGAAGGCCTTCTCCCTGACTACATGTTCTAAACCATATCCTAACCCAGTATTTCCTATAAAGCACATCTACCCACTATAAAATCACTCACTCTGTCCAAGAATATCTTTATAGTTATTTCCCCATTAAATGACATTTTCTTCTGCTTGGTGCAGTCCTTTCTTTCCGTAGGCACACATCACGTTGTTGGCACCTGGCCTCGATGACTGAACATGAAAAGTCACCGTTGATCATATTGCCTTTCATA